GTTAGTTTTAATAGCGTGATAATTTTTAGGCTTAATTATTTAAATTGAACACTTATGATGATTTAAAACCTGAAATGACTTAGTCAACTTATTTTTTACCAATCAAAGTTTCTAAAATCAGAGGGTTTTGTAGTATACATAGCCACTCTCTCAAGAACTTATAAGACAGAGTATGATAAAAACGAAATTATAGCTAAAAAAATTTTTTACCAATCATAATTAATATACACAGCTTGAATGTTCCTCTACGCTCATTTTATAATATAAGCTGGTTAACTGATTATCGTATTAGCATATTATACCAATAATAAGAGATTGGGATAATTGTAGGTTTATTTAACGTTATCTGATCAATCAATGAATCATTGAATACCATTTTTTTTAAATAAAATATCAACAAAATCGCTATCGTACAACAGAAAGGAGAATATAATTTCGGTATAAGTGGAACGAAGATAGATGCACTTCTTATCAAATTCGACAGGGCCCCAGGTCCATTGATAAGTGATACCTGCTTTAGTCCTGATAAAATACAAACGTAATTTCAATACGTAGTTTAATCGAAACATATTTTATTTATTAAGGGAACTTTTATAACGAAGGAAACTTGAAAGGTGAAAAGTGTAAGTGATAACAGGATTGTTGGAAAATCGGATCCGACGAAATGATGGCTGAGGAGGCCTTTGAAGCACAGGTCAATGGCCGCTTGACAGTAAGTTAATTAAAAAAAATATTATTATGGACACATAGTTGGGTTGTTTTTATTAAGATATACAGATTTTATAAGCAAAGGGCTGAGAGGTGTACTGTACATAAAAATCGGTTTAAATTCAAGGATAAAATTGTAGTTAAAATAAAAAGAAACGTCGTTTTTACGATACTTTGTCTTTTTAGTTTTTAAGAGTGTCCATTATTGATGCAAAACAATTGTATAACTCACGTATTTCTTAATTATATAAGAGCAGATTTCGAAGAAATCGAAGCTACAAGTATTATTACGTATTTTACGTACGCAATCTGTATCCATACATTACAGTCAATCGTCATTTATCCGAATGTATAGTAAGGAAACTGGACTCGATTCGGATAATCGAAAATTCGGTTAACAGGATGTAGATTGGTAATTAAGGAAACCGAATTATTAATACAATCTATACTTAAAATTTGTTTGTTTGACGCGATAATCTCAGGATCCGTACGAAACGGTTCGTGATACCCAAAAGAATCTCTATAAAGAAATGATTCCTCTTTATATGATCTAACAAAATGTCCGCGACACTTTCTGTCTATCATTAAAGATCAACTTGCGGGAACAACGGGTTAAATTTATAGAGTTGAACAGGAGGTTTGCAGAAACAAATTTTGATGACCAAAATAACTATTCGCGGAAGTAGTCGCGGACACAGCTTATGAATTATATTAAGTTTAAGATAAACAGTACAAAACAGAGTAGTATAAGTAGTGTTGTGAACCTTTATTGCGTACGTTCTACCATGCTTGTACATGTGTGTTACACGGCAATTGTAACTCATAACTCGAATTCTTGCTTCCGTTTATACCAATTCGGATAATTGGAGATTCGGTTAATCGACATTCGGATTCGATGTTCTATTGTATCTTATTGTCGTATTTAAACATAATAACAGAAATTATTTATCTAAGTACGAACGTGACGACAAACTCGTAACACGCAACAAACTAGGTGGTATTTATTCAATGTTTATTATTAGATAATATTTAGAACTATTTCGATAAAGCGATAATGCGTTTGTGTCTACAATTACAATAATCAAATTTTAAATAACTAACTTTTGGTCTAAGTTTTCAAGTAGGATATATTTATTAGATCGAGAAATAGTCTTGGTTTATTATTTCAAGTACCAGTTCTAAGTTTAGATAACTTTATTGTCACTAATATAATAGTGGTAGTCGTGAGAACCCATTAACCTACACTGGAGCAGCTCGGTGGGCTTATTTTACACCCTCTCTTCTTGAAAAGTGACCAGTGTCCAGCTGTGTAACATCAATATGTTAAAACGTATATAGTGAAAAGTAGGAATACCGAAATTTTCGTTCGCGTCACGAACCGCCATCCACCGATGAAAAAACACGCGTTTCGATTTCAGTTTGCGGATTTCTGAATATGCTTAGCGAAAATAGATCGACAGCACATCCTATTGTGATGTTATATACGTATTCATATGCATCAAGTGAACCTCGTGCTGTTCTCTATCATAAAAAAGTATGAAGTTTAATTGCGCTATTAGTAACGTTAGAAATACAGTTTTCGTATTAACACACTGAATTAAAACACAAATGTATATATAACAAGTTTAAGGCCAGATTAATTTACAGTAAGTAAAACATTAAGTATGTTTTGTTCGATCGATAATTATTGGCCTAAATTTATAATTATCCTCAGATTTGTAGAATACAAATTAAACATTGCTTTTCAGTACTGAGACATACAAGGTGCAAACAAGATGAGAACGATTCGATATATTTTTATTTCCTCATAAATAAACAATATTCTTTTTTGTAGGTATCGAATGTTTTTTTGATTTTCTCGTTTAATTTTCGAATACAGTACATTTTTTTTTAAGTTTAAATTAAGTAGGGACTGTAAATGCGAATGAAAGACAATTAATGAAACATTTGTAACTGTTTTAAACGTGATGAGATAGTTAAAAACATCGCAATTTTTGAATGCTGAAATGCGGCTATTGTTACCTATTATTGAATTTCTTAATGAATGAATATATAAATATACATGATTTTTTTAACATTTACGAACCGCCGAAAAGGGAAACAGCATATCTGTTATAGGGCAATAACATAAACAAAAAAAACATATAATAGTGCAGGAATATTTAATCTAAGGACTTTATTTTGTGAAATTCAACGAGGTTATTGATGTGTCGTTATAGTAATAGCTATGATAATACCCAAAATAGTCTTAAACGAGGTCTAATGGGCCGATATTGGTACTTCCTGTAATTGTATCGTATCGGTTTACTAAACTGAATAGGTGTGAACATAAAGGATAAAAAACGGTGACAAAAAGCGCATACTTATTAGGTATTTTAATTAAATCTAATTTACGTAGTTTGTCTTTTAAGCGAACATGATTTTTATAGCACACAGTGGAAATGATAACGGGTAGTATTTACGAAAAATTTCAAATTAAGAAGCTTTCTGATCTTCTTCTTCTTACTGGGTCCAATATATTTCAAAAAATCATTTTATGAATTCCCTGGAATACCTGGACCAAAGACCCGATATAGAGATAGCATCTCGTTTAGATGTTATCTGAGTGGGATACATCAGCTCTGCCACTGAAAGATAAGATTATAAATTCTAATAGTTACCTACCTTAATCGATCAATAAAGGAAACTAGTACTAACAACGCGAGTAAAACCTTAATTCAAATCAAGTCGAGAATTATTTCACCATATTATATTAAAGTTTGTAATAACGGTGACGATTATAAATACCTTATTTATCGTTAATAGTTATTCGATATTTTTATTCTAAATTTTTAAACCTTAAAGTTACAGTTAATAGGGGTTTATTTTATTAATTTTTCATTTATTTTGGTCAAACGCTATTCGCATAATCCACTAGAATCGGCGGATTTATAATTATATGTTCAGAAGTGTAATTTATCTTTTTTTTGTCTTTATTATAGTGACGGGTTCTTTGATCTAATAATTGTAGCAATGGTTGACTAATAATCAACGGATCATTGATTCGATCCCCACCGGGTCTTACGTGTACGTATAAATTTTCTGAACTCCGTTTGGAAATCTGTAAATTAAATGGATAATAGGAATATCGAAAATTTCGTTTAAGTCACGAACCACCATTGGCAGATAAAAAGACCGTGTAGCTTTATTGCATTTCGGTTTTAATCTGTGGATTGGATTTCCGAATACCAAAAGCCAAAATAGGTAGACAACACATCGTGTTTGATGTTACGGATAGGGTATCTTTCAAGTGATCATCACTATTATATAAGGAATATAGTTTACGCGAGTAGTACGCATTTAAATAAAACACTTTAAGTCTCCCCGTGACCACGGCTCCTGCAAAGCATCCGAAACGTCGGGCCGAAGTTAAAAATCATTTTCAAATAAGTTTAACTAATATATCGCGTTTTAAACCGTTAAAGTGTTTTATTTACATCAATATTTGTTTTAAAATTTAAAATTACCTATGTGAATACTTGTAACAAATATATGTACATATAGTGAGTGAATAGTTTTTGTAATGTTTTGTTTGATAGACTCGCTCTTGCATGGAGCGTCGGGCGGGGTCGATATCAAATCTACACAGGTTGTATGGTTTCTTCGCCCGGAGTCCGTAGAAATGCCACCACGTAACCGAGAATGGTTCATCAACTCATAATCATAGGTCAACAAGCAGTAAGGAGCGCGGGCTAATTAGTAATTAGCCGTTTGGATTTTCGTCATCTAACTATTCGGGCGCGAAAAGAATTGAGTCACTTTTTTGGCTTCGGATCACCTTGTATCCGGTATACCTATTTGGGTATTTAAACTTGATACAATTAGCTCACTAAACATTATCGGTTTTAGTGTTCGAAGTAGCCTGTTCTAGCTAGATCGTTTCTGCTAACAAAGACCATTTATGTATTACGTCCACTGGATGTCTGTGTACAACTGCGTAATGTGTAGAATGTATATTAAGGTAAAGCCTTTAACTCTATTTAAAAGTCGCGTAATTGTCTAATGCCGCCGTCTTATCCCTCGTATACTTAAGAGTTATAACTGATCACTTATTCAATTATGAACTGTAAACAGACCGGTAATCTAATAGAAGGTCGCGGATGCACCGGCGAATAGCGACGTCGACACATATGACACTTATCCTAAAAGCCTCAGGGTGGGTTTATGCGAGGCTCGCGTCGACAGGAGCAAGGTTGGTCGCGGGCGGTCTGCGGAAGGTCCGGCAGTAGGTCCGGCGCGCTCAGGCCGGCGCCATGCGGGAAGACGAGCCGCTCCTCTGCCCCGCGCCCAGTCCCGTCCGGAAACCCTCTCGCCTCAAGCGCACGCTGCGGACGCTCAGCTCGCCGTTCCGCTCCGGCTCGCCCTTCCACATCGCGTCGCTCAAGCGAACTGGTTCCGCTAAATCCTCAGTGTCCGACGGCGAGATCGCACGCGACGAACGCACGATGCGTAAGAAGAACAAGAAAATACGCGCCGACGTGCCCGCGTCCACTTCCCGCAGCAGCGATAGCTCGCCGGTCGTGAAGAAAAAAGAAAGTAAAAAACTAATTCACATCGGATCGACTCGCTCCGAGAGCGCCGATCTATCGCGTTCCGAAACCGAACCCGAACCGCAAACCTCAAATATTGTCGCGCAAATCACAACAAACTATGAACGCTTTCCCGAAACGCCGACGGAGCCAATCCTACCCAACGACGAGCAGTCGTTCGAGGCCCTGTTGGAACAAATTACGCAGAGCAAAGAACAATCGTCCGGGGCCCCGAAGGAGAAAACGCTAGAAAATAACGACGAATCTTTTGAAACTTTAATGAAGGAAATTACACAAAATAATGAAGAATTATCCGAAACTCAAGTCGAACAGATAATACACAATATTGAACCGCCGTCGTCCACTGAAATGGAACCGGACCCTGAACCGGAGGATATCAAGCGTTCTTCCGAAATCGAGTTGCAGGTCGAATTACCGGAAAACGTGACACCAGAGCAGATATTCAGCCCCATCGCAGTGGAACATCCGGTGGCGACTCGGGCGTTCACGAAAGCCGCTTGGAAGAAACGCGCGCAAGTGACCGAAATTCAGAAGCCGATCGAGGAACCCAGCCCGGAGGGAACGATGAAGCGGCGCATCGCGTTCGTGTCGCAGTTCTCGATGTACCAGACGGAAGACCACGACGATGACGACGACGACGAAGAGGGGAACACGCACGAGGTGGGGTCGCTGGAGGAAGCGGTGGCGCTGGCCCGCGAGCGGCTGGCCGGCGCGTCCCCGCCGCATTCGCGCGACAACGTCGAAGCCGAAGAGAAGGGATACGCGGACGCGAGCATGCCGGCGTACGGAGACCTCATCGAGCCCGAGAACAAGGCTGGGAGCGACGGACCGGTGAGTGTTTGCGCTCGACTCGAACCGCGAATCGCGTCAGTGGGTGAAGGCGTATCGTGCGATGCGCGCGCGCCATGACCTTCGAGGAGGCGGCTGACGAGTGCTACCTGACGGTGTGCGACTGCTGCGGCTTCAGCGCTGAGACGTCGCTCTTGTACCCCGTACGTTTCATTTCACGATAGTTTACAGCGGGACTGCCGCGATGCCCTCCGTGAGTACACAAGCTTCTCCGCCCGTGTGCTAAGCTTCATTTTGCAAAACCGCGCTCTATTCGTATTCGTATTCGTAATTTCCATTTATTTATTCAAGTGCGCCGCACTATTCGGCTTTTATGTGTTTTTATCGATACTCAATAAACAATAAATATTCTCAATTAATATCTCAAGACGTCCTTAATAGATGGAAGATAATTTTTTGCTGTCCGTTACTGCGGCTTATGGATTATTTATTCTTCCGTTTTTTTTTATAAAGTCATATAGAAGTGGCTAATTTAATAACCTGTCTATTACACCTACTGCTAAAAGCAACTTATAGTTAATTAATTGATTAGGAACAGTCTTAAATTCCTTTTCGATGATTCTTCTAGAACCTTCGTTATCACATCTAGACATGCAAGTGTTTCACAATTGCACATCTTAACTCTCGGTATCTCATTAAGTAAATAAAAACTGCAAAGATAAATGCCTTTCTCGTTTCATATAGGGATTTACTAATCCTATTAGTCTAAGTATTGTCTATACTCCAATGTAATACTCATTAGAAGCTTATAAGACTAAAAATATAGAAAATGGACGACCGCCTTCTCTGTTAAATAGTTATATAGGACTAACAGATAAATCAAAAAGCAATATTTATTTCTGTAAATACGGCCATTTAAAAACGCTTCATTATTAATAAAAAAAACGATTTACATTTTTTAAGCAAAGAAAAGGTATCAACAATTCTAACCATGTAACTTCGTGTTAAATAGAAGAAGAAGCGAGTAGTTTTTTATATGCTAGTAACACTTTCATTATTTAAATTTAGTAGTGATTAACTTAAGAAAAAATCTTTACCAGCATGATCAATAAGGTTTTAGTATCGAAATCGTGATGCAAGATTATCAATTATTGTATTAATTTCCATGTATATGTACATGTGTATGTAGTAGAGAACAGATGACGTAGCAGACGTTTTGACATTAGGGACACCCTCCATCTTCAGTCCTTATGAGACCACGGCTCCTGGCAAACAATCCAAAACATCAGCCCTAGTTCACATAATATGTCACTTCTGGTCCAAATATTTTATAGATAGGCTAGTCGATGGAGCGTTCGTTTCTTCTCATTAAATTAATGTGAGAAGTTAATTTATAATTTTCAATAAACACATTCACTTTGAGCCTTCGTCGTAAATTCTTCTGTATCAATGACAGGCTCTAGGCACTGAGGCGTACATGTAATTCAAACCATGAACTCATGTTACACCGCTACATTGGTTTTGCAATCACCTTTGGGATTATTAGAAGCCTTCAAACATGATACCGCGTCTTTCCTTTGAAGCCAGGACCGTGGTGGGACGCCGTAACAAATGAATGTTGATAATAATAGCTTTTCCAGTGGTTTATACCATTTGAAACTTGGCGTTGTTAATTTGCAAGGATATTTGGATAGGGTGAGTCTTCTAATGTAATGTAATGTAAAATGTTAATACATTTCTTTTTTATAGTGTTTTTTTAGTATTTAAGTGTCTTATTTTGGTTTATTTAATTGTTGAAATTTAACGTCTGTAGTCTAGAACTAACGCTAGTAGCACACATTGAAATAAAACACTTCTTACGATTTAAAACGCGAATTTGAATTTGATATATATTAGTAGAGAACAGATGACGTAGCAGACGTTTTGACATTAGGGACACCCTCCATCTTCAGTCCTTATGAGACCACGGCTACTGGCGAACCATCCAAAACATCAGCCCTAGTTCACATAAACCATTTAAATATTCCCAAAATTTGCGTTTATATTATGTTCTTCTACTAAATAAGCTAACGTGTATTATATACATATATTCCTTTTTAACTTTAATTCAATTTGCCGATTCCAAACGTTATTGTTTGTTTGAAAACAGCGTTCAAGTGGTTCCAGTTTACCAACACATGTATTCCTTTACAAGGGAAAGTAACCATGAATAAATAATAAACAAATAAGATAGCGTACCCATTACAGCCAACGACAACTGCAAGTGACAAATACTTCACACCTTATCAATGTCCGATAAGAAGTTTTACGTCGAAGCATTTAAATAAGCGACAATCGATATTATTGATAGTTGTCCACTTGTACTCTCTAACGATTAGACTTACGTTATAAATGAACCTCAAATAATCAAACAGAAATTGATATGTACTTAGCCTTCGATATAGTGAGCTTCGAAGTCGATTGGCTTTACTTTTGTGTTTCTTGACGAACGGGTCGGAAGTGATTAGAAATAAGTTATGTCGCCGAAGCAGATTAAAAGTGTAAGTTTTTATATTGATTCATATTTGATGAAGCATTGAAGATTATAAACATTTTAGAAGCAAAGGTAGCAATCATGTTTAAATGCAATAATGCATATATTAACTTTAAATTCTCGACCTAAAAATATATGAAATGTCACTATCAAGTCGAGTAGATTGTTTTGTAAAACCGGTATATATGATTCGCACGTGAAAAATTCTTAAGATTCTTGTTTTACGATACGAATACGATCACTTCACGATCGTATTGAAATAGATATTAACGCATTTTAAACGATAAAATTGATCGTTGCGTATGCGTAACCCAACCTAAATAAAACATATATGACGGTTTAAAACACACTAAATCCGTTGGTGCCTGACAAACATCAATATAGTAAACTTAAAGATGAATTGAAATTTCATATATTTAATTTTTAGTGCAATAGTAGCAGTGAATTCCCGTTTACCAACTTAAGGCATGGGGCGAACACATTTCTGTGTCCGTTTCACTGATCGGTTATTATACACGCAAGTAGTTGTGATTTCTGTGCCCCATCCGACCATAAAATATATTGTTTACCCGGGATTCAAACTCAGGACCTCTCGCTTAACATAATGCTAGACAACATGTTTACCCATTTAGCTACAAAGGCGGCCTTCAATTAGAATGGCACGTAGTAATTAGAACAAACTAGTAGGTACTTATCTAATGAAACTATCATAAACTCATCGAAATAGCATTTTTACTTAAGTTCATTTATTTTTATCTAATTAACAAATAACGTTACGATTCCAGTTTTTTAATGTCGATTTACGTAAGTTACGAATTCCTCTGACTTGATAAAAGGCCAAAGTTCGTCTTAGGCATTCCGACTCTAAAGATCTTTCTTCAAAGAAGCTATGTCTCCTAACAGTACTTCTTAAGTTGGTAGCGTTGGTCTTTGAACTCTTTGTCAAATGACATTGATGGTTTGTTAGTTCTTACAGTTTAAATACCTAATGCAATCCAATATTACACATAGGGGACACTGAAAGCATTCATTCGTTGGTAAAAAAAAATATGGCGGTTCCAACTCAAATATCTATAGTAATAATCTTATATAAATAATGTTATTTTTGAAAACACTGTGTATTTTGTTCCATGCAATACTTTTGGAACTTCAATTCCTATTATTATATTAATTTTCAGCGGTCGTATATAAGTTTTTTTTAATATTAACGTTTGCGCGTAAAACTCTTTTGGAATTTTAAGGGTCACACATTTCAATGTTTTAATTTTCAGGAGCTTGGCTGATGATACGTTTTTCTTATAATTAGATTTCATTTTAAATAATAGGTAGGTTATATTGGAATCTAAATTTGGTTTTCACCTATTAATTGCCAGTGCAGTTCAGCTTTCTTTCCTCATAGGAAAGAGAGTAGAGTTTTGTTTTGAATACGCTATTGTATTTGACATTAAAGAAAGGCACAGAAGTTTGTATTCTTGAATACAGAACCTTGTAATCTACAGACCTCATGACTGTACAACAATAAATGCGTTCAAAACTCAATAACGATCATTTCTTCTTACAGTCTCATGCCACATCCAGCGCAGAACGGCGGGAGCATCTCTACAAGATCCTAGTCATCGGCGAGCTGGGTACTGGCAAGACGTCCATCATCAAGCGATATGTCCACCAGTTCTTCAGTCAGCACTACAGAGCTACCATCGGCGTAGACTTTGCACTTAAAGTACTCAATTGGGACGCAAATACGATAATCCGTTTGCAGTTATGGGATATAGCAGGTAACTTTACAAATACCTTCTGTACCTTTCCTGGATAATCAAAAGCCAAAATAGGCCTACAGCACATCTAGTGAGATGACTGGAGTATTCTTCCATGAAGTGAACCCCGTGCTTGTCTGTCTACCGATATTTGTTTTTCATCTATGGCCGATATTTTGGGCGTTAATAAATTAAACCGTTAAATATGAACGCACGAAGGCACGATCCTCAGCGTATATGTTGCGCCATATTTTCGTATCATGTTAAAACACGACTAAGCGGAGACTAAAGCCTATCTCTTATATTCTTATATGCATCTCGTATTGATTCCAGCATACGCTATAATATTATAGCCTAGTCTTTGGACTTTTTATAACATAATTTTCAGCTATTATATTCCTAATATATTTAGATCATAGATAATATTACAAAGATGCAACATAAACCTGTTCTTAAGGTCATTTTAGCCAATTTACGCACGTCTCGAATTTCGATTTTGTTGTTGTCGCTACATTAACAAGGTCTGTAATAAATTTTAAAATTATATCGTCTTATCCAGATGTAGGATAATAATATATAAACTACTGGGTAATTATTGAATTTACTAACAGTTTAAATAAAACATTTTCACGGTTCAAAACGCGATAGCTTCCAGTAACCACGGCTGCTGCAAAGCATCTGAAACGTCGGGCCGTCGTTAAAATACTTTCCAGATAAGTTTAACTAATATATATCATGTTTTAAACCATTAAAGTGTTTTATTTAAATGTGTATACTCGCGTAAACTACTAACTAATTTACTGGCAGTTGCTCAGACGTCTGTGCCCTGTCTGACCTATTTTTTTCTCTCTTGTCAGTATCTGCTCTGTATCAATACGCTTATGTAATATTATTGTATGCTACATTTACAGGTACCATTGCACATACGCACGTTATGCAATACATAAGCAGTTAATGTACGTTTTAAAATAGACAAAGCAGTTTATTTATTTACATGTGGAGTTACAATATTGTTAATGTAAGCCGTAACCTTTACGAGCAGCATACGTTGCGGGTAATTGCAAATTTTGTTTAATTTAAATTAATTTGTGTAAAATATACAGCTATAAAACATTGCGCAGTGACTCATAAGAGCGAAGAATTAGCGGGAAATCTGTTGTTTTTCCGATGCGTACGCTGCGAAAACCTTTTTAATGATCTATAAACATTTTCGCGAATATTAACTTGCAAGAGAGACGGGACGCGTCCGATGACGACGTCTATTAGCAGTTTATATTTATAAAGATGAAGAGGAAGTTTGCAAAAAGAAATTTACATTCCGAAAATAACATTTTAGGCGGACGAAGTCGCTGTCACAGCTAGTGACGTATAAAACGTTACTATTTTTTTTATTTATTTTTTATTATTCAGGACATAATCAATTATTATCAAAGCAAATACTTTATTCTAAGCAACTAATAAAACAAAATAAAAAATGTCAGTTTATTTATGTCATGTTTTGAAACGCAAAAGAGAAGTTAATTTGAGAATAAAATAAATATATTATTTAGTATGGATGAGATGGGTTACGCGTTCGCTTGGATTTTTATGATTTTAATTATCATATACTGTGTTCTGTTCCTATCTTTACCTATCATGGTGCCATACTAGTTCAGGTAAAAAACATAGCTCTACAGAAAACATAGTTCATTGCTTAACTGTATAAAGGTAAGTGTAACACCCCAGTCGTATAACAACATAACAAGATGCGTTGTCGGCCTATTTCTTAGGATATAATGCTTAATGACCCGGGGTCATATTAATAATGAACTTAATAATTTCTGTCGGGCAAGGTATAGAAGTTTAATTATTAATGTTTTCTATTACAAGTATTACGACCCGACGACTTCGGTGCTTATAATTTAAATTAAATTCGAAAAGTCTGATTTCTGAACAAAAACGAGAAACGAATTAGGTACTTTTATTAAAGTACATGGTACCTGGGCTCGAATCCCGGGTCATAAATGTATTGTTTCGGTCGGAAGGGACATAGATGTTTTATCGGCTGCCTGTAAAAGAAATCTAGACAGAATATAGAATATAAAAAATATTATAACGAGGCATTTCGACGAAGCGTGCTTATATTCAGTGACAATTGATATTTCGATGCGAGTTTTCTTACTTTTTCAATAAATAATATCACGCTAGCATTATGCGAGGCTGAGCAGACACGCAGACTATCAATCACTATGTTAGTTACCTATTTGCCTAGCTAGGTATTTGCAATTTTAAATGTGCGTTAATGCTAGTTAATTTGCTTAATAATTCAACTTTTTCTCGTAACAAACTCTCTAGGAAATCTAGGTCTCTAGGCACGCGTAAAAATTATTTGTAGTAGTATATTATAATTCGCTTTTGTAGCTTCTAAACGCGTGGGCCTAACTTCGAATTCCAGGTAAATGTCAAGAACTTAATCATAGTAGTCTAACTTCTAAAACACTAAAACCTTAAGTATTGTCCGGAGGACGCGAATAGTACACATTAAAAAAAATATCGAGTTAAAACGGAAAATGTATTATTATGTACGTTTTGAATGCAAGTTTTATATTTTGCGTTTTAAACTGTTAAATTTGTTTTTTGATACATTTCTCGATTTAAAATACAATATCCCTGTTGTGAATTCTCTTCTAGGCCAAGAGCGTTTCGGCAACATGACGAGGGTGTATTACAAGGAGGCAGTTGGCGCGTTCATCGTGTTCGATGTCTCGAGAGTGGCCACTTTCGACGCGGTCGTCAAGTGGAAGAATGATCTGGATACGAAGGTTCAGTTGCCCGACGGATCCCCCATACCGTGCATTCTACTTGCAAATAAGGTATGGTTTTCATCTATTTAATGATCTTCTTAGATTCGTTCGTTCTTGCCAGTTAATCTAAAAACATAGACATACTGTCGCAGACTTTTTAAGAATTATTCTTTCACATTCTAAAGCCTTCCGCGATATAAGGTCCAACAAACCTTTTTTTTTTTATTTGAACCAGTAGTTCTTAAGGTAAGCGCGTTCGAACTAATTCTTCGGCTTTATAATATTAGTTCAGCTGTACAACCTTTTTAAACACGGTATATAGTTTACGCGAGTAGTACGCATTTAAATAAAACACTTTAACGGTTTAAAACGCGATATATTAGTTAAACTAATTTGAAAATGATTTTTAACTTCGGCCCGAGGTTTCGTATGCTTTGCAGCAGCCGTGGTCACAGGGAGATTGACTGGAGCATCCGAAAACGTCGGGCCGAAGTTAAAAATCATTTTCAAATAAGTTTAACTAGTATATCGCGTTTTAAACCGTTTACGTGTTTTATTTACACCTTTTTAAACCAAGAAAACCACTTTAGTTCGTTAGTTTTAGCTCAAAGCTCAAAATTCAAAGCGACTGTATACTTTTGTCTCAATTCTAATGACTAACACTTACCTAGTGACTTATGACTTATGTCATATTGTGTGTACTTTATGACACAACCAACAACGTGATTACATTAGAATAGATAAATGATCTGATAAATAAATTACGATTATTATTAACTTTTATATGTGAAAACGTAAGCTTAAGATTTTCACGATGTACCGTAACTCAATAATTATACATTACTTTCTGCTTGGTTTCTATACTTTTTTGTTGTCTTTAACGCATTTTGCATCTTAATTTGTTCATTAGTGAATATTTGTGCCAAGTAGTGTGATCACTTGGTTCAATGGTTTTATATTACCTAGCAATGCATTGAACTCTACAATTAATCACATACGGACACATAAGTGTATCCGCTCCTACTGTACCGCTGTATGTAGTTGGTAGTCTTAATAGTTGTAGTAAATTTGATTTTTATTGTTACAGTGTGACCAGCAAAAGGAAGGAATAGTGAATTCACCGGCGAAAATGGACGAGTACTGCCGGGAGAAAGGCTTCGCGGGATGGTTTGAGACGTCCGCCAAAGAAAATATTAATATCGAAGAAGCTGCTAGATCTTTAGTAAATAAGGTGCGTTATATCCCTTATTCGTTATATTGTTAATATTTAGATGTTTTGAATGTTCTTTTTTTTGATTTTTCTAAGTTTGGCGAAACATGCGCCTGCGCACGATGACGCTCCTAATAGAACAGATTTTTAAATTGATTCATATAAAACACATGATTCCAGTATTATTAAATTATAATTCATTGTGGCTGTAGATTACCTCATTTCTCAGCAATTTAAAAATTGATATTATTCTGCATATTCTAGTTTTATTTATATCGATGCTAAAAATTTAAATAAATTTTATGACACCTCAGTTCGCGAACATAATCCGTTGAATTGCATTATTGTTTTCATTAACATAAATGAAAGATTGAGACATTAGATAAATAGATAGGCACAATAAAGACGTACCGGAATTTGAATTTTTAATATTTGACTCGTAAAAAATAACAACAATGGAAAACAAGAGAAAAACAAAATTTATACATTTTATAATAATATCAAACAGACACATAAAATATTAAATGAAATATCTATAAATGTATATTTCTCTTCGAATTTCATAATATTGTGTAACATTATAACGACGTTAAAACAAACAAACCGGAATATAATTCGTAGCTAGTTATGGTAGGAAGCTATAAAAAAATGCAGTCCGGTTTTAAATCGACGAGCCTCCGTAGTTTAAGAGCTGGTGAGTCATTTATTTAATAACTTACGTTCAATAAAAAACCAATAAGTTAAATTATGTCATAAATAAAACCATGAAAAAGTTAGGACGCTAATTATATCTATTTAGGTCTATCTTTTAAGTACTGTCTAAACTACATTTACGCGAGTAGAACATACTTTCGGTTTAAAACGCGAAAAATATCAGTTAAATAATTTGTAAATAAATTTTTTTTTATCGTGTTTTAAACCGTTAAGTTTTATATTTAAATATCATTTCATTTTAATCGTGTTTAAAGCCCTTAAAAGTAATTTTATTTAATTAATAAAAATAAATATATAAAACGTAAACTATACGTATAATGTCAAATGTACGTTATCTTCTTAAGTTTAAATTCGTTATCTTTCGTTGAAATCAATTGATGTTATTATTCTGTTTATATATTAATTTATTTTACAAATTTCAAAGATCTCTTACGCTAGACACGGTATTAATGAGTGAATAATTTATGAATCTTTTCTGCTAATATAAAAAAGCTTTTAATAAAATAGCTTATCTCGGTATCTTCGACTGTAATAGATAGATAGCTCTGCTAAGTCGATCAGACTTTTACGAAAGGTGTTGCTGGAATTCTAAGATTAACATTTACAAAAACCAAAAAAGAAAGCGTTAATTTCTTATCGGTGGATCGCGTCCACGGTCAGATGACATTTTGACAGCTCCCATAATGAGATTTAATGGAAATGCTGATTTACATAAAACACTGTTAACGGTTTAAACGCGAAATATATTAAATTGTGGTAAGGCTTTCACGGCCATAGTTCTTTAACATATCATCGTTTTTCGGGCTGTTCGGCCGACGTGAGCGAGAAGAGGTTCTCGACGTTTTGCCATCACGAAGTTGCATCTTCGAGCAATCGAGGTGTAAACATCTCCTGATGATGCCGTCTCTTCTCGCTCACGTCGGCCGAACAGCCCGAAAAACAATGATATGCGAAATATATTAGTTGATTTTTCAGCAGATGTGTATTTAAAAGCATTCGAAACGTCGAAGTGTAGTAAAATTAAATTGAAAATATATTAACTAATACATTTCGCGTTTTAAACCGTTAAAAGAGTTTTATAAAAATCTGCACTACTTACGTAAACTACGGGAAATACTTATTGCTGATGCGTAATATGTGATTACTAAGGATGGATAAATCTACGATACAACTATCGTAGATTTATCCATTACTAGCTGTGTTAGCGACTTTCTGGGCATCCAAATTTGTTTCTGCAAACCTCTTTATCTTTATAAATTTAAACTATTACCCACGACGTTGGTCGGTCTAGTCCTTCTTCTAAGTTAATGTTCAAAGATATAAGATAAAATATCGCGGACATTTTTTAGATCATTAAAACCTTCCAGAAATATCTAACCAACATAAAAATACTTGTTCAATTCGTACCAGTAGTTCCTGAGCCATCCATTAACGCGTTCAAACAAACATACAAACTCTTGCTTAGCTTTATATATTAGTAAAGATTTATCAATGATTACCCACATATTTATGCCATAAATCACTTTCCAGATACTTCTAAACGACAAACTTCTTCAGAACAACGACAAGGACGGCGAGAGGATCGCTCTTGATCACAAGATAGCGAACGGCGAGAACAGTCGAGATCCCGGCGGGAACAAATCGTGCGCATGCTGACCGCATACATACAAAATGCAACCTTATTGTGTAACTAATCTTATTAAGAATTTAGCTTTGTTTAACTTCTGTACCCTGCTCGACTGAAACAATCTATTGTTTCCCCGGAAGTCGAACAGAGAACCTCTCCCAACGCAAACTGTTAATGCATTGTTGTGCATTTGGCTACGAAGGCGGTCAATAATCAATCAATATATCTTGATACAAATAAAAAACGGATAATACAAATGGTTCTTTAACATTTATCATGAAGATGCTTTGGAAAAAAAATCTGTGGTTTTGAGATGTGGAAGAAACATAGGTTTTTTGTCAAACGTAAATAGAAAACCACGCTGATAATTCTAGTTACACAAACAATGTTGTCTTTTTAACAATTCTTGCACTGAACGAACCTCGCTTTAAAATGAACAATTTTTTCTATTAATTATTATTATTACTTAATGTATATTCCCAATATATCCGATTATAGGGTTCAATCACAGATCAAGTGCATTTATTACGATTATTCTAATTTTGTATAGTCTGTGACGTTGAGTGACGCATTTTCACTGGATTTATTATCTGTAATGATATTTGGTCTGTGGGTTGAATTTTGTCAAAATGCGCTAACGAACAATATTTTCAAATGGATGTTACGCCTGCTAATTTATTTATTTAGCCTACTAGTGGAATAGCAATTTTCGCATTACTAAGGTACGACGTACATTTTATTATTGGAAAGCGTTTTTAATATCTTGCTATAGTTTATGATTAAACCCACCTTATAAGCAAATTATCTATTATTTGCATGAGGTATTTTTTTCCAATGTAATCTCAGGTTAAAACGATCGAAGGAAACATTGTGTATATATTATATTATGTAAATGTATCGATGTAATGATAATAATTTTTGTACAATTTCTGTGGCCTTATCTTCCTTGAGAATAATAATATTCTTAAAAGTATATGTTAAATTTTTAATCTATTAAATTGTATACCGTAAGAATCGACTTGAACATTCTTTGTAATTGATATAAAATAACTTTGCCATAACCATTTCATTTATAATCACTATTATTTACTTTTGTTTATTACTCCAGCCTTATGTTGAACGAATTAATGTGTTTAGTTCTTATTAATACTGTATTTTGATGCGTCGCTTGTTGCATCTTATATTTGCCTACTTCCTAGGTATTTAAAAGCCGGACCGGACCGGACCGGACGGATTTCGATGCGTCAAAGTACTAAAGTAAAATGTAGTTATTTTTCTAAAAGTGCCTTCACTAACGAGTACGTGATAACTCCCCTGTAAATGACAGAAAGACAAGCTCCCCTTTATTTTATTGAAGTTTATTTCGTTTTACTGCAGTTAAACGAATTTGTTTCGTATCAAAAGCTTACTACGTGCCATGTTCGGCTTGAGTCAGTAATTAGTTATAAAAATAGAGAATAGTAATTGAATAAATATTGTAATAAGTATTACTTATTGTATGTGAGCGTGTGAATTTATTACAGGATAAATTGTTTTAGAAAAAGTGGTATTTTATTTCGGCTATGTAAATATTATGTTTTGGGTCAAAAGTTGTGAACCAAGAGAAAATCAATTCCAATTTAAATATGAAAGGCTCTATGATAAAAACAAAGATATCGTTTTAATAATAATAACAGAAAAGGTATTAGGTGGACAATGTATTAAAATTGATGTATCGATTTGTAACCGCTTACCTCTGTCTATTAGAAATGGTTTAGTCTTTTGTTTTTTGACTTTAACGTTGTGATATATTTATGGTTATAATTTTCCAAAGACTTTTAGACTATATTGTGTCACAAATTTTATATGTTTCCAGTTTTATTACGCAACCTTCCAAAACATTGTTTCTAATGATCCATTTGATCTATAAACGATAAAAGTAGGCGTTTTAAAATTTTAATGTCACTCAATCAGCGGGGTGGTTAAGGTAATTTTGGTTTTATCTGAAGTGTTTTATGAGTGTTATAATATTGTGTAATAAGTAAAGCATGATATTAAAGAACTAGACATTTCTGAAGACAATAGGCTGCTGAAAATATATATCGTCGTAATATATATAGCCTCAACTAATTTAACCGAGTGTGTAACGTATAACTTAATGCTCTCAAAACCAGTATTATTATTTAAACTGTTATCATTATTATATATTATATTTTATTGTTTCCCATGGTTGGAAACTTAGGACCTCTAGCGTTAAACCAAGCAACCTAAGTGCTAAGCCATAATAACAATTAATAATTATCTTACAGCAAAAACTGTTACGCTTCGTATCAAGGCCAATGTAACGTGACTTTTTCTGTAATGCATTATTAATGAATGATTTCTTTATACTACCGTCTTCAACAAAGCTATCGGCTATTTTAATGTCTATCATTATAAAATTATAGAAGAAATGAAGATCTGAAAATTTCCATTGACGGGTGAGTAAAAAACCGACCAACCAACTATATTATTATTATATTTACCAAATAAAATTGTGTTTTAAATTGTTAAAAAGTGTGTTATTCAATTTGGACCATTCAATATATAAACAGCAATCAATTCGTTTGAATATTTAATAAAATCAACAATCGTCTTAATTAATGATGATTTAGGCTAGTTAAACTAAATAATTATTTTATAGATTTTTTTACTTTTTCGCATTCAGCATACTTTTGGGAAGAGCTCACAAAAGATAATTTTTGGTTTACAGGTTAGCCGACTCGAGGTCTAGAGTTCGATTCCCAAAGTTTGGAAATAGGTATATACAGTTCCCCCCCACGTGGGTTTTCTTATTCTAAAATTTAAACCTTACTATAAATTGTTTCTTTCTTACAATTACAATTATTATACTAGTCTTCTATCTACGTGTACCGATCGCCAAAGGCCTCCTCCAACCTTTTTGCACTCCTTTCTATCATGAGTAACTCCAACCATTATTCATCTTTTAAATAAAACACTTTAACGGTTTAAAACGGATATATAAGTTAAACTTATTTGAAAATGATTTTTAACTTCGTGTCTCCCCGTGACCACGGCTGCTGCAAAGCATCCGAAACGTCGGGCCGAAGTTAAAAATAATTTCAAATAAGTTTTACTAATATATCGCGTTTTAAACCGTTAAAGTGTTTTATTTAAATGTGTACTACTCGCGTAAACTATAGACAGTATTATTCATCTTCCCATCTTTTCCGAGGCCTTCCTCTTTGCTTTTCCTTCCATCGGATTCTATTACTTTCTTACTCCATTTCTCTTATTGCATGCCTCGCCCATCTTCATTTTAGTCGCCTATCTGAAGTTACTAGTTCTATTATTCTCTTACTTTATTATTTTTTCTTAACCTGACATTTTGGTACATTAATATGTTAAGATTGATGACTAGAACGAGACGATATTTTGACATACACGCCTTGCGTGATGTGGTATACTTAACAACTTTCATTGGATAACCAAGTAATTGTGTGTTTACCCTTAATATTATACGGTCTGATGACTACGCTCGCGCACAATTAAGTATACACAATTTTAAATTGCATTTAAATCTATTTTACAGTTGGGTGAACATTTTACAGTATTCGTACATGCAAGGACTACCTTTTTCTATATATTAAAGCCTCGAAACACAATTTTACCATTCCCCTTCCAAACGGCTTGGGGGGAATTTTTATTTCCCCCGGGGGGGGGGGCGGCCCCCCCCAAATTATTTTTTTTTTTTTTTTTTTTATTAAATTTCCCCCCCCCCCTTTTTTTTTTTTTTTTTTTTTTTTTTTTTTTTTTACTTTTTTTATATTACCATAACAACTTGTTTATATGTAAAAAATTGTATACATTAAACGATTTATTAGTATTTAAAAACTTTGGCATGGCTTTATATGAATTTAAAATCTATCTGCGGCGCTATGCAATTGAGCTATATTGGTCCACGTCTCGCTCTTGTCTTCTTTTTTATCTAAACAGACTTTTAGCTGTCATGTATTCTCATCCATTTTTAGTTAAGATATACCCTCTATTTCTCTCTCAGATTTTTTGACAAAAATTATTATTTATGTATCACAGACCTACAAATAATTGTCTTTGTCTACTAATAATAATATATAGCTAATATATAGCTGAAGCTGAAGAGTTTGTTTGTTTGAACCCGCTACAGGACCTACGGGTTCAAATTGAAAAATTAATTTAGTGTTGGTTAGATCATTTTTCGGGGGATTTTTTTTTTGGCCAAAAAAAACCCGGCCCCCCCCCAAAAAGGGGGAAAAACACCGGGGGTGTTGGGGGGTGGGGGGGGGGGGGGGGGGGGGGAAAAACCCCCCCCCCAAAAAAAAAAATTCCTTTTTAAATGATCTAAAAAATGTCCGGGACACTATACGTCTATCTTTTAAGATTAACTTGCAAGAACGACGGGACCGATGTCCGATATCGTGGGCAGCTTAAATTTCCAAAGATGCAGAGGTTTGCAAAAACAAATTTGGATGTCCAAAATAACTACTTTGCGCGGACGAAGTCACTGACACAGCTAGTATATAATAAAGCAGCGTTTGCCGAATCAAGTAATATGGACTAAAAAGGCTTATCCACTTTCATCGATTTTCTTGTAATATCTAAAATTCTGCAGTAATGTAATATTTGCCTACGCGCAGATACAATGTACAATTAAAACATACACAATGCCAGATCTAATTACTAATTAGTTATAATGGCTTGTGATTACCATAAATGGATGGAAACGACTTAGCGCTAAACAATTAAAATTATATGTACGAAAGATTTACAGATAACAACTGTTGATTTAATCTAATTAATTTGGACCGTCTTTAAATAAACTATGGTACGTAATTCACACGGGAAAACAGAAGCCTATCAAGGGTATATTTATATATTTTAATATTTACAGCTTCAAATATACTGAAAATCGATCTAATAAGATTGAAAGTACTAAGTAGTTAAAAGGGTTGCCTAGCATTGTATTAGGCGCTAGAGGGCCTGGGTTCGAATACCAGGCAAAGCGCTAGGTTGATCTACTACTTGCTTATAAAAGAGCCGATCAGTTAAACCGTTTACATAAATGTGTTCGTCCCGTGACCCATCGGAGAAAATTGGTTTTTTCAACCGCATTGCCTTGCCATGTCCTCCCCATACCACACGTTATTTTCATAATTATACACGTTAAAAATAGTTTAAGTAATTTAGAATCTAATTCAATGTTTTAAGTCGGTTGTCCATTACTTTATTGGATAAATAGTTACAACTTATGAATACCAGGAAGTGAAGCTAATACAACAACCTCCTGTCATTCGATTTCTACAAATTTTATCTCGCAAATAAAAATGTTATGGTTTACACTTTTCAATGCAGTCGTTGTTAAAAAAAGACATAACGATAGCTGATAATAGTTTATCTTTTATGTATAGTATGACCTATTTTAACCACCTCTGTGACTAAGTGATTGTGAGTGATATGTTGCCTAGCATTTCGGTTCGTCCTAGGTTCAAATCCCGGGGAAAACAGGGTACAAAAGTCGCATCAACTACTTGCTTGTAAATTAAACCGATCATGGAAACGGACACAGAAATGTATTCGCCCTATGCCCAAGGGGGAGAAACAGGGTTTCACTTTTATGTCCCATTTATTATTTTTTGTGACTATAGCTTATTTATCTGTACTTCTAAGAAGAAAGTAGAACAAAATAAAAATCGTTTTCAACATCTCTGTAGGTAGTTTGGGAAATAAATATCATAATTGTTAAAATATTCAATGAAATATCTATTCTAGTCTATAGTTTACGCAAGTAGTACACATTTAAATTAAACACTATAAAACACTATTTTAGTTAAAATTGTTTGCGTAGTAGTTTATATCGCGTTTTAAACCGTTAAAGTGTTTTATTTAAAAATGTACTATGTATTATATCCGGACAGGTTTTTAAAAATGGAACACTCTGTAATTTTTTAAAGGTGCATCATGATTTTTATTTAGTTTGTGGTTGATACTAATTGATTTAATAGTTAGAGACAAAGTTTGACAAGTGTTTCCACTGTACTGTCGTTTTATGGGATTTGTTATTTAAATAACAATTTGGGGTGAACGAACATACTGTTTCAAGACAATTTAATATCGTACATACAATAAAGATGTTATCTGGTTGTTTAGAAATGTTCTCGTCTTATCAGAGTGTAAAATAATTAAGTGATAATGCATTCTCTTGCACAATATGAATTTAAGCCTTCTAAGTGTAGCACTAGTTTTGGGCATATGATAGTGTACGGTTTGTGACTTACGATGGAACTAGATAAGGTAATTTTAGAAATATAATTACTCGTTAAGTATCAAAATCCATTGTTATTTCCATTTATTTAATTAAACTTACGAATGATGAATAGTTATATAAATTCCTCTAACTTTAAGTATTTGTTCATTGAACTCAACTAATAACTACAAATACTGTCTATAGTTTACGCGAGTAGTACAAATTTATATAAAACACTTTAACGGTTTAAAACGCGATATATTAGTTATTTAGTTAATATCTCCCCGTGACCACGTCTGCTGCAAAGCATCTGAAACGTCGGGACGAAGTTAAAAATCATTTTCAAATTAACTAATATATCGCGATTTAAACCGTTAAAGTGTTTTATTTAAATTAATAACGACAACTTTGACGCGCTCTTGGTCTAATGGTAGCAATGGATGGCTAATAATCTACGGGTCGTGGGTTTCATCCCCACCGAGACCCACATGTTTCAAATTTTTCAATTTATAACTTTTCTGCAACATGTTGGACCTTGTCTGGATATTAAATAGGCGGTAGGAATATAAAAAAATCCCTCTCGGTCACGAACCACCGTCCATAGATGATAAAGCCGTGAAGTTTAATCGCTTTTCGGTTTCAGTCTGTGGATTTCCGTATATCTATAGCCTAAATAGGTCGAGCGCGTATCTTGTGTAAATGTTGTATGGCTGCGGCCCATGTTTGTCTGTCCTCTTCTATCATTGAAAACTACCCTCAGTTCAATTGGTTGATCCAATGGTCGTAGTTCTGAATACAGACCACGTAGTCATTTTTCTAATTTCAAAATCAATTTAAATAAGCATAATAATTTTATATACCTAGGCACTCGGGTTAACATGAATACATTAAATTATATTTATTTAATACACAACCATATTCCTTTGCAAGTAGTTAGCTTAGAGTTATTTAAAATAATTAGCTATTTTCCTTGATATATGAAGAAAAAGAAGAGAAGATTTAAATTCTTCTAACGAATTATAGTTAATAGAAAACTGAAGACAAAGAGTTTCAATCTCTTTTTTGCATAAATAAAAGGACTACTATACATGAAATAATTTTCAGCTTAACGATGAAGTTACTGACGAAGATGTACTTATAAAGATTGATAATCTTACTGTTTCGACAGCAGAAGAGAAGTCTTGGTTTAAACGGAAATCTTTAAAACCCAAAACCATCATTTTAGACAAAGGTAATTTATATATAAAAAACGAAGATACATCTTCCAAAAATTTATAACTTTTTTAAATTCTTACAGCGTGGCGCAAGCCATAGTGCGTGTCTTTGTTCACATCAATATTTAGTGACCACGGTTTAATAAGTAGGGAATGTACTTTATTAATACTTTTCTAAAACGAAATATACATCATTTTCTTTAGTTTCAGCGTGTATAAAAACAGGAGAGTTCGTTGCTGTAATTGGTCCAAGGTATGTTAATATTTTAATAATTAGATAAGTAAAAATTATAATACGCTATTTTTGTAACCGTTTCTTGGTAAACATCTACATGTCACTACTGACATTTAAGGAACTGGTAAAAATAAGATTGATTCTAACGTGGCTGCGAGAGCGCAATTAAATAAGTACAAGCCTTTTCCGGTAGCTAAGTACGTACAAATTAGTTAAACCGGATGTTAAATGACAGATTTGACGTAAAAAAAATTTTTCCACGACGAACAGTTAATTTTGATCACCACTTATTTATCAAACCTGTTTAATGATAGGTTTTCCTAGGTACAGTAAAAAGTTTACCAAATTAATTTGTTACTGTCTATAGTTTACGCGAGTAGTATATATTTAAATAAAACACTTTAACGGTTTAAAACGCGATATATTAGTTAAACTTATTTGAAAATGATTTTTAACTTCGGCCCGACGTTTTGGCTGCTGCAAAGCGTTAAAGTGTTTTATTTAAATTAATTTGTGTTAACCATTTTTTTTTCGTTCATCGAAGAGAATGGTATTGTCTGAAGTTTACGCAACATTTAAATAAAACACTTCTAATGGTTTAAAATGGCTAACTATTAGTTAACGTATTTACAAATAATCGTAACTATATGTCAAAGTTTCGGATGCTTTGTAACAGCCATGGTTACGGGGGGACAGAAGATGGACGGTGTCAATATCAATAGTCAACTGTCCTAAGTTGACATTAGGGACACCCTCCATCTTCAACCCCCCCGTGACTATGATCGTTAAGAGTTCTTTTACTGAAATTGACAAGAGAATTGTTTACAGTGGTGCCGGTAAAACTACCTTCCTAGTGTCACTGGCTGGCAAGAATAACTTGACGTCGTCTGGTACGATAACACTAAATAATACAGATGTCAAAAACATCCCACAAGGTGTTGTAGAGCTCGTCCCTCAATTCGATGTCTTTATGGAACATATGACAGTCGAAGAACATTTAATCTTTATGGTGAGTAACAAGGGTAATTCGCGTTTTAAGAAAAAAAAGAAATATTTGAAGAACTTAGCTGAATGTTGCACGAAGGGGATGGAACAGCACTGTTTTTCAGTCTGCTCCCCCGGGCTTAGTTCCAAAAGGTTTTATACGGATTTTAAATTTTTAAACCCACCGCCGGGTTTTTAACCAACCAAAAATTATAAAAAAAAAGGGAAAAAAAAATTTAAAAAAAATCCTTTTTTGTGGGGGGGGGGGGGGGGTTTTTTTTTTTTTTGGGGTTTATGTCTAACGTCTGCTATTCCGTAATAATGTCTTATTAAAGACTTATCTGGAATGTGACGAATATTAATGATGCTCGAACTCACAAGTCTCTCGTATAAATTAATATTTTATTAGCAAAAAACATAGGCAAATGAAATTCTACAAACAAACTATTAAAACTTCGTTTACGACAAGACTATGCAATTTGGTACAAGATTATAAACGAACTAGCTGTGCCCGTGACTTCGCGTAGAATGGTTATTATAGTTATATTTTTATGCTGTATAGCTTAAACTTTAATGCCTTCCTTGATGAATGGTCTATCGCAGAAAATAAGAATTTTTCAATTCGATCTAGTAGTTCCTGAAAATAGCGCATTCAAACAAACAAACTCTTCAGCTTTATAATAATAGTATAAATACTGTCTATAGATTACGCGAGTAATACACATTTCAATTAAACACTTTAACGGTTTAAAACGCGATATATTAGTTAAACTTATTTGAAAATTACCGGCCCCCGTGACGGTCTCCCTGTGACCACGGCTGCTGCAAAGCATCCGAATCGTCGTGCCGAAGTTAAAAATAATTTTTTCAACTAATATATCGGGTTTTTAACCGTTAAAGTGTTTTATTTAAATGTTAGTATAGATTTAATAATAGGAAGTGCCCTAATTCTTTTACTTTTTTACAGACAGAAATGAAACTTGGCAGCGTCAAAGTGTCACAGAACCGAAGAGTTTTAAGATCGCTGATATACGATTTAAAATTAAAAGCTATTGAAAACAACCCAATTCGTACGCTTTCCGGAGGGGAGAAGAGATTACTATCAATGGCAACGTCTGTAAGTGTGTGGACGTCTTTTGTCTTATATTATAGAGTTGTTATTTTTCTGTTATGATAAACGGTTTATTTATCTCAGACAAAATAGCTTGTTCATAGCTGTCTACCTTGTTGTACCCAATATCATTATCTATTAGAAATTCGGCTTATAGTCACTATCGTATCATGGTGTAACGATCTAAATGGTTGACTAAGTCCTTTTACTATATAGGAGGAATTCAAGCATAGATTTATTGATTGTACGTGAAATACCCCTAGCCAGCATCAAATCAAGATGCCATCAACTATTTCGGCTTTGGATATTCGGAAATCCACAATTGAAAACGAAACCGAGTAAACTACCAATTTCTCATAAGTAAACAGTGGCTTCAAACCCAGAAAGATTCGATATTCCTACCATCCATTTAATATCCGGATTTCCAGACGAAGTCCAACATGTTTCAAAATTATAAATTAATTTGAAAAATGTTGCACGCGGTGGTAATCAAACCGTTGATTATAAGCCATTCATTACATTATAGAGCCAGTCAAATATTATGATAACAGTGGGAAATACTTTATCTATGCAAAACATTTATTTTCAGCTGTTATCAAGCCCCATAGTCCTCATCTGTGATGAGCCAACGACGGGTTTGGACAGCTATAACGCAACACTAGTAATCAGCGTCCTGAAGAAATTGTCTTTGACCGGCAAAATTATAATTAGCTCTGTACACCAGCCGTCGTCAGATCTATTCAAGGAGTTCAACACAGTCTGTCTCATGTCAGAAGGGAAGTTGCTGTTTTACGGTTCGCAGAACGACTGCAAGAGTATGTTTGAAAAGTATGTTTATTTATGCATTGAGTAAAAAACGTATAATTTTTAACAGTCAGTGAATAATTACGTATTTAAATAAACGGTTTAAAATGTGAAACTTATTTACAAATTATTTGAATCACAGCCCAACGTAGTCACGGGCTGGTTAAAATAATAAGTAAATAAGTTTAACTAATATATAATTTAGCGTTTCAAACAGTTAAATATGTTTTACTTTAATGTGTACTCGCGTAAACTACGAACAGTGTTTAAAACTACATATTAACAATCGCTTATTTATTTTGTGGTAGGTACCATGGAGTCCTTAGTATTGACAGTAGTATATGGTATATATACATTTAATAAAACAGCAGCACGGCTTTGGATGTCTGTTTAAAAAAAAGGCTTTGGGTTTTCTTTTTTTATTTTTATTATACATTCACCAATAACGGTCAGAATGTGAAATTGTGGCAAAATAACAATATCCTTATATTCGTGGCGTTTATAAGTAAATTCCTGCTTATTAGTCTGGTAAAAGAAAATCCTCGGTAAAGAGAAATTAACTGTACTTATGTGAGATAATTGAGCGTAAATTACAGCAATTTTTAACAGAATTCGAACTCAATTTTAAAGAACTATATCCATTCCAAGAACAATTTAAAACAAGGTACATTTACTACTACTACAAAATTTCAAGCATTTCTCGACTCTTCCAAGAAATGGCTCTATAAAGCGAAATGTTAATTAAATTGTTCGTTGACGAACACGCGCCAGAACCTACTGATTAATTTACGTACATTTAATTAAAAGCCACTTTAAAATTCCATACAAAAATACAAATTGATTAAATGGTCATGTTTATTAATGTCATCTAAATGCTAATCAAATATTTGAATCGGCACGCGACCGGACATTGGGTAGGTTTTTAAGGTTCTATTCAATCTGGTAACATTTTAGTGTTCTGGTATAATAAATCTATTTGTTTACGATAACGTAGTGTTGCTATGGCCTAAACTTTAAAGGCAACACAGTATTATTATTTATTACTTTGTTGTAAGTTGTAAAATAAATGATACCAATTTGTGTTGACCACGGCACCTGTCGTTAAATAGCAGCCCGCTTACTAAACAACAATTTTTATTAGGGTTTTGTATGGCTTTGTTTTTACGTGCTTCGTTTCGTCAATGGAAATTGCACCAAATTGATGTAACGTAATAAAATGCATGTAAAAAATTGTACCCAATTACATTGCGCACCTTTATACGCTAAAAAATGTATATACTTAATTAATTAAAGATTTCAAAAGAAAAAAATACGCCCATAAAAAGTGTAAGGCGCTGACATTGGAATTGAAAAATTGAATCGCTATTTCATACTGACTTCTTTGAAGTCACTACAAGTTACAACCTGACGTTTGGCAGCAAACTGTTTGTAGGCTGACAGGAGAGACCATAAATGGTTAAAGACAAAACGTCAAATGTCTTCATGGCTGCTTAAAAGTACCAAAAACGTACAACAATTATCGTAAACACTGATAGCGTATCAAATTATTAATAGTAAGTAGATTATGAAAATTTGAGAATAGGGGCGGGACTCGAACTAACGACCTTAGTGTTATACCAATCGAACTTTTTGTTTAACGTGCGATACCATCTTTTTCAAATCTAAAATACATTCCTATAAGCCTAGAAAAGACAACTCAAAGATTAAATTAACTGCATTAAACTTCTGCTTTAAGGATTAAGTTTCCATGCCCAGCCACCTTCAATCCAGCGGAGTTTTACATAAGAGCAGTATCAAATGGCAACAGATGTATAGAAATGATATCGGAAAATAACTGTGACCCTTCGGTTCCGTGCGACTTAACCGGTTCCCGATCACTGACGCTTCCTTTAATTCGTACGTAAGTATTTCGTTTAGTTTTGTCAATCTACCCAATAAGCAGATTAATTTCTTAGATTCAAATTCTTATTAAATATTACATGATTCAGTATCTTTGTAGGGTTTGGGTCAGACATTTATGTACATAGAGTTGATCATATTGGCTTGGCTTTGGATATTCGGAAATCCACAGTTAATAGTTAGCCATACATTACTACCATTATACCAAGGAATCTATCAATCTATTTATTATGGTATCCTGGGATTCGAACTCAGAACCGCTGGCGCTTAACGTACGAAGCAATGTAGTTAACAATTTAATTAATAAGCGGGCAGTCACAAACTTTGTAATCAAAGTAAACATATTACGGTTATTTTTGACTTTCGGTCACTTCTAGACATAAAACAAGGTCTGTCTAAAACCTAGACTCTAAGTGAAACATAGAATAACATTGTAGTTATAAACTATTATATTTTCCGCTTCAAACGGTTAAAAATGATTTATTTAACGTGTGGCACTATAAAAGCAGATTGCGTCGAATTTTCTACAAGCAATTTATAACCCTATTAGCTTAAATATGTAGTTAAAATATAACGAATGAGAATTTTCCATTATAGATGCAAGAGGAACTGGTTTAAACAAATTCAGTTATTGCTCTGGAGGTCTTCTTTATCGTTGAAGAGGGATTTTAGGCAATATTTCTTACAGTTACTGTTCAGTATGGTGAGTTAAAAATTAAAATATATTTCAAATATTTTTCCCCTTTTTGTCCAGTTTTTACGATATGGGCATATTATACAGTTTTTCAATATACTTAAACTACCAATTAGAAAACTTTATCATTTTGCACATGAAGGCACTATATAATTTAAAAATCTAAAATAAATTGAAAAAATTTTCGACTCGGGCAGGACTTGAACCGGACATTGCGCGAGAGGTGCATGTATCAATAAGTTTAAAAAAAATCGACGATGAGGTGTAGGACTCGGTAGCTCAATTGGTAGAGCAACAGCACGGAACGCTTATATTATTTGTATAATTTCTAGCTCATATCCTCCACGATAATAGGAACATGTTACGTCGGAATATCTGGGAGAACCCAACGTGGTGTGCAAGATCTTCGTGGATTTCTATGGCTCATGTGTTCGGAGATTTCCTTCGCTCTAGCCTACGTAGCGCTGTATTCATTTGAAGGGGATTTGACACTGTTTAAACGAGAACGGGGCTTATACACTACATCGGCCTTCTACATTTGTAGGTTTTTGTCTTTCGTAAGTATTTTACGACATTGACATAATGATTTTTAAGATATATTGCTGCTTGGTTTGTTATACGTATATAATTAATTATTATAATGTATTGAAAAATTATTAACTGCACTAAGGTGTAAAAGGTTACAATGTTGATATGTTTAAAATTAAAAAAAAACTTGCCTCTACCACAAGGGTATTCATCGATTTTATTTACAAGCGGGGATCACTAGAAGCAAATAATTTAAACTATAGTTCTGATTACTAAACAGATCGAATTTCGGAGAATTTCGGATTCAATTTAACATCAAACACACTATACAAATCCATTTAAGTTTTGACTAAACTATCAAACCCTCTAAAATTATTTATGTTAACTTTTGGATTGTACTATACTGAAAATGTATGATATAATTAATTGCATTAAATAATTAATTTAAAAGACTTAAATATAAAGAGAGAAAACGTTAAAATAAAACAATTTTAACAGTTAATAACACAATTGCTTTGCGTAGCTATGGTCTTAGTAAAAAAGCTTTAAAGACATACTATAATAATAATTAAATAGTTAAAATAAGTTTTCAGCGTTTATTTCATTATTTATTTCGTATGTAAAAAATTACATACTAATAAATTATGTAAAGCTTAAACGGCCATCGTTCAGCAGACGTGCGACGTGAGAAGGTTCTCGACGTTTCGCCATCACGAGCGGACGGCATCATCAGATGTTAAGCCGAACAGCCCGAAAAAGAATGATATAAATTACACACGGTTAATATTTAACATATTTTATAATTATTAAACAATTATGTCAAGTCAAAAATGAAATATAATATTTCAATTCGAATTAGCAATACTAAAATATTCATTGTCGGTTTTAAATGTTATCGTGAGAAGGCGTAAAGCTAATTACATCAGTAAGTTGCCTATTAAACACTATTAGCTTTTTCAAGATTTTTGATTGGCTAATTCTGTCATATTCTGGCGACCAATAAAAGACACTGTATGTGGATTTGCAGTATAATTATGTTTAACAGAAAATTTACATTAAGGAAAAACGTTCGAAATCGCGTGGATTAGTTATTTTGAGCGTAAAATTTTGTTTTTGCAAATCTCCCCCCTGATATTTAAAACTTAAAGCTGTGACCCACGACGTCGGTCGTGTTACGTCGTTCATCGATAGTTAATCATAAAATATAGGCATATATCATGGATTTTTTTTTTTAGATCGTTTATCGTTTATAGAGAAATCATTCTTTCAAACATATTTTTTTTTGGGTATCTTGAACCATTTTCGCAGCGTAAGCATTAGATTTCTAATACAAAAATGTCTTCACTCATATTGGTCACAGCGATGTTTTTTAGCCCAAGCTTTCCTGGATAAGTGCTCTGACCAACACAAAAATAATTTTCGATTCAAACTCGTGGTTCCTGAGATTAGTGCGTTCAACCAAAGAAACAAACTCTTCAGCTTTATATATTAGTATAGATTGATTTAATTAATATAATTTTAAATAAAATTAAAAGTTAATAAACAGTGTAGTTATTATTCGAAGACCAGTGTAAATAACCTAAACACATACATCATATTTTTCTTCTATGGATTTTTCCATATAATAAAACGAATTTTCTACGCTATATGTGTATCTAAATAAAACACTTTAACGGTTTAAAACGCGAAATGTATTTTATTGTTAAACTTTTTTACTAATTATTTTAAGTACGGCCCGACGGTAATCCAATAATAAAAATATTTATAGAGAATTAAAACTGCACTGGTTTTTCTATACATATTGAATTTATCTTGCAATCTTAAATCACTTTCAAGTGAATGCGTCTCAACTCGACCTGTACTACTTGACGTATTGCAAAATGATTTATGGTTGAATATGACAACGCAATGTACGGATAATTTACTCTGATTCACCCGGGCAGCTTAATATAACTCTAGACAGGTTTTGTTAATACCATTATAACGAGATGAAATACCTGTGTAAGTGCTATCATGCTTGTAATTAAGCTGTTCATGAATACACAACAGTTCTTAATTATACGTTTCTATACAATGTTTATGGACTTTGACGTAAATTACAAAGTTTCTAAAGCTTATGTCTGTCTATAGTCTATAGTTGTCTATAGTTTACGCGAGTAGTACCATTTAAATAAAACACTTTAGCGGTTTAAAACGCGATATATTGGTTAAACATATTTGAAAATGAGGGGAGGTCAGTCTCCTCGCGATCACGGCTGCTGCAAAGCATCCGAAACGTCAGGCCGAAGTTAAAAATCATTTTCAAATAAGTTTAACTAATATATCGCGTTTTAAACCGTTAAAGTGTTTTATTCTAAAGATTTAGTTACATTGTAATTGGAAATAAAACAAACCACCTATTTGGGCAATGCGTCAGTCGTCATTTGATTACATTGCATCCTGAATTACATGCGATGCGCTAGCGCAGAAATGTGTAGTCTTTGGTTTACTAACTCCTTTATTTTTCCTTTAGTCTTATACCTACTTAAAGTTGAATTGTCTTTATCTCCACAGATTCCAAGATGCGTCGTGTGGCCAATACTTTACGTACTAATAGTTACTCTAGCACTAGAGTTGCCAAACCATATTTTGACAGCCATAGAGTTTGCCGCCGCTCTCATAATAACCGCAATTGCATCAACTGCTTATGGTTGGTATCCTTAACTTTGAAACATAAAGGATTTCTACAGGGTCCTCAAAATTTGCCACCAAAATGATTCTCATATTGTACCGACTTCATCTTTAGTTATTTTTTATGATAGAGGAGGACATTCAAGCATGGAGTTCACTGAATGGTAGCTGAAGCATCCTAGCCATATCTTCACTAGATTTGCTATCGCCCATTTGGCTTTGGATATTTGGAAATCCACAGATTAAACTTCACGACTTTTTCATCGGTGGACGGTGATTCGTAATTAGGATGGAATTGAGATAATCCATAAATAAAGATAATTCATGAATAAAGTTTCAAATAAAACAATTCACACCTTGAAGTTCGTTGAAAGTATTAGTGCATCTGATAGGATATTCTCTTCTCCTCCAGGTCTAGGGATGGCTGCCCTATTCACATCAACAGGATTAATGGGTGACGTTATGCCTTGTGCTGATTTGCCACTCTTTATCATGTCAGGTGCTTTCATTCGCCTATCGTCTCTTCCCATGTGGCTTATGCCAATAAAATACTTATCTCATTTCTACTATAGCATGGATGCTGTGAGTAACATCTACTGGAGGCAGATTGATGTTATTGGTAAGTTTTATGGCCATATATCTTTAAACAGTACAGTAATACACTTACACACTGTAATCTTTAAACTTTAAAAAATAGACATTCTTTATTGCGTTGCCTCCATATAAAATGAACGGTAGTTAACTATAATTTAAAGTCATATCTATCTATAAAACTAGAAACGGACCTCAAGGTTGTTAATAAAATTAATTGTTGTATATATTTACGTTATCAGATCGCGGATCGTACATAAATAAGAATATTTTACAGTCGCATCTCCGTGTGTAGGATCAGATACAATGACAAAAAATACAATTATTTTATTAAAAATTGCTTATGTAAATGTGTTTCAACACTTCTTTATAAATGTAGATAATAGTTTTAAAGTTTTGACAGGCTCGGAGGTAACAATGTAAGGCTAATAATCAACGGGTCCAAGGTTAGATCCCTAACGGGTCCAATATTTTTCTAATCAATTTATGCTTTTGCTGAAACATGTTGGACTTCGACCGAAAATCTCGGTATTAAATGGGTGTTAGGAATATCGAATTTCGTAAGAATATTGGGTTTATAAGAATGAAAAAAGTGTGTATTTTAATCGTGGTATCACTCAGTGGATTTCCGAATATCCAAAGCCAAAAGCTGGACTTAATATAGAAATTTATTTTTTTATAGAAATATAATGAAGACAACCAACACAGATACTAATATTTACATTACTATTAAAAGGATGTGAAATTATGGACGCTAACCGTGAGATAATAGCAAATTAAAAATAATAGGGATTACTAAAAATAATTATAATTAATGTATTTTTATTAATATGGTATCGCGTGCTTGGAGTGACGGTAGATAGGAAGACTTCCCCATTTTTCCTTAACGAAGCGCGTACTTACACAATCTCAAACGTGAAACTACCTTCAATTAAAATGTTCAATCGATTTCGTCTCAAATATATATATTTAAAATATACATTTAAAATGTTAAGTTTCATCGTGTGGTATTCCATTAGACCAACTTAACTGGTCGTTTTATTTGCGATGGCTAATAATGTTATAACATAAAACGCGTTGAACCATCAAATAGTTGTGGGAACATACTCTAATGTTTCTACACGGGACCGGTTCACACGGCCCTAAATTTATCATCCCGAGTTTGGTTAATTCTTTATACGTGATTGTTTCAATATTTTCGAGATTTTGAGATTCTTAGCGGAGACCACATGTTAAAGGATTATAGTACATAATAGGAAATTGATGCGAATGTTCGGACAAAGTAGTACAAATAAGAACATGATGTTTAAATAAAGAACTTTTAACGGTTTAAAACGTGAAATATATTATTTATTTTTAATTTAATTCACTACGCTCTGATGTTTCAAATGCTCTGTAGAAGTCGTGTCCCCCTGTGAGCACGTTGGGCCATTTTAAAATTAAGTTAATAATAAGCTTATTAATATATTTCGTGCTTAAAACGGTTAAAAATGTTATATTTAATTATGAACTACTCGCGTAAATTACATACGATCTTTAAGTACAGGATCCTCGTTTTATGAATCACGTATAACAAACTGGTTTTAGTTATTTTTAGTTTTACGGATATAACCTTGAGTTTTGAGGTCTATTATTATCTCAGAATATTTTTACTAGGAACCGACAAGAAGTCAACGTATCTTTAAGGGCAGTTCAATTACTTTATTTAAAAAAAAAAAGTAGATTAGTGTAAATATCGTAGTGCGTGCGAGTCGAACACACTTTTTTATTAGTGATCAATTTTATTTTCTCAAAGTCGTTGAATCTTCTTCTGTACTCTGCATTTTTTTATAGAATGAACCAAGATTTTTAATAGCGCAATAAATTGTACGTTTAATGCGTCTTACAAACACGGAATTCACCGCTCCTGTAGTACAATAGTGCCGAGCAATTAAAAATAAAAAGTATAAATAGTTAACACAAACTTGACTTGATGAATCACTTTAATAGTTCGTTAAACTTTAACTCAATTAAATAATTATAAACTCGCATCACATTTATCTTATAATTAGTGTTTTATTTAACTTGGCAGTACACGTTTAAATAATCGAGAATTTTGCTAGCTTCTAGCTCGGTCATTATGTGACCAAAATTATGGTCATATTAGTCATGATATGGAAAATTTTCGGAATCGGTAATCATTCGTACTAATGATGTTACATTCTGTGAATAGCGAAACTAGTGGTGCATACTCGTTATGTTTTCTTAGGATTGATGTTTTTTATATAAAAATTTACGCCTTGATATTATTATCTTAGGATACTATTAACAAACTCCAAGATTCGGTATGAGGAGTGAATGGCCTAGATTCTAGAACATCACTTTTTTCTTATTTGTTTGTTGACCTTCTATTTTATGTGTCGTATACTATGTAAGGAGTATGTTATTAAATTTACAATTGTAGATACAGGAAAAATTGAGGAATAATGAATTAAAAGTACTGATTAGTAAATCAAGTAAAATACATAACAAAATGGAAAGGTTAAAAAATATCCCAGGTTGGGTTGGAACCCTGAAGATTATTCGGGTCTGCACCAGTGAAGCCGCCCTACATTTTTTTTTATGTGTTTAATAAACATCTATCTTTCAAATGTTTTATATCTTAAAAAACATTTTAGTGGTTACGTACGTACGTACGGTACGTTATAGATAGATAAACTTATTCAAAAATATTTTTTTAACTTCGGCCCGAAGTTTCGGATGCTTTGCAGCAGTCACGAAACAATAATAAATATCGCGTTTTATACCGTTAAAGTGTTTTATTTATATTCTTCTATTTATTTATATGCGTACTACTCGCGTAAACTATTTTGTACAGATAGTATTTAAAAATCGATCTGCTTATTTTCAAACTTTTTCAGATTGTCCCAGTAATTCTACCTCTATGTGTTATAAAGACGGGATCGCGGTGTTAAAGGAAAGTGGATATTCGGATAATTCTATCGAAAATTACATCGGGTTTACATTTATCACAGTCTTTTGGAATTTGTTCGGCTACTATGGGCTGAAGCGAGAAGAAAATAAAGGCTACGCATATTAAAATTTGTTTTATTTATAAAAGTATCGAAAACTGGATACAAAATTACGCTATAAATGAATATAACATTAACGTAGGTAACTAATGTAATGCCACATTTTGTACAACATAAAGTTTCTTAACCCGCGCCATTCCTAAAGATAGGTCCTTAAAGAATACAAAACAATTGTTCATTTATGGACTTAAATTTAACAATTATCTGAAGAATTAGATTGGCTATTAACTATCTTTATCAAGGTCTTAGAGAAATTGGTAATTATACTCTACGTTCACAATTCTGTAGCAACGGCAGACATCTTCCACTTCAAAAAAATAAGTTTAAAAGCTCTATTATCATAATTTACAGTAAATCGTGACACAGAAACATTTACTTAACTGCATCGTCATTTTACATAACAAGAATTGGTTAGTAATGATTTGGAAAATTACTTAAGTAATCTATGTATGCAGGAACGTTATTATCTAATCAATTTCCCTAAAAAATGCAACAAACAAAAAATTTGCGTTATAGAATCAATTATTGTACCGCGTCAAAATTATCAGATACTTATTGGAGGGACACATCAATAAACGGGCGTACCACGGCTTCTCTTAACAACCATGATAAATGAAATTATATGAAAGCCTAGGTACATGATTCCTAGGCCGATGCAGTTCCTCCAGAAGTGGTCTTCTGCGTAACCGAATCTTTTTAACACTTCACTACCGGTTTTAATACACGGTATCCCTGGTATATTGACGCACTTGATCTCAGTGATGGAGTCCCATTGGAGAATGGAGACGCTTTCAGTGCCGTAGTAAAAGGATGAGATGTAATGGACCCAAGATAGGTACTTGCTGACGCTGTTCAGGTTGAGGTATATCCCCGAGAACATGATACCGATCAGGTCGAAAGGAACAGCAAAGAGAGCGGCTGTCTCCAATTTGTCGAACGTTGCGGAGAGGAACGACCCTGTAATAGGAAAACAATATATTACTTTAAAAAATTATGAACAGTTTTAGAATTTCGACATCATCATGCAATAGGTAATGTACCTTTTCTATTTTTTTATTTATTTGGTTACTAAGAATATGAATAATACATATTATAATGTCTGTGCACTTTAATAAAATAATTTTGAAAGTAAGAAGCGCAGGGATTTAAATAAAACACTAACGGTTTTAAACGCGATATATAAGTTAAACTTATTTATAAATGATTTTTAACTTCGACCCGACGTTTCGGATGCTTTGCAGCAGCCGTGGTCACGGGGAGAGGCGTGTATCGCGTTTTAAACCGTTAAAGTGTTTTAATTAAATGTGTACTACTCGCGTAAACTATAGATAATATTTAAGCGCAGGGATATTAGGGATATAAATTGTGCTAAAGTGACAATCACCTTCGTCAAATGATATCATGTCAAGTCCTTTTTTATCTTTGTGAACGTGTTGTAATTGTCAACTTGGCTACGGACCGTAGGGTTATGAAGAAATAGATGTGAGAAGAATATTTAAAGACTAATTTAATCAACAATCGAGTTCGCAAAAAATAGTATTCATACTAAAACTACATTTTAATATGGTTGAAACATAAATCAGCAATAATATGTTATAATATTTCTCAAATATGATTCATTATTTCATATACCTAATAAACGAGCGTTAAAGTGTTGCCTTGTCAACAATATAGACACCACGGATAAATTTATTGAAACCAGAAGTTTTCCTGTTTACGGTGTGAATTAAAATATTTCAGATTATTTTAAATGCTACTAACTCTGATTGTTTTTTTACAATTGTACAATTTTCAACACTATTTTCAGTATTTTGTTTCTTTTATTTCAAATTTAATACGCATTGTATTTACTTCACAAACAGACTGCGACTTATACGTGCATTTTTTTAAATTATTTTGCAGAAAAAAATGCCTTGAAGTTTATATATATATATATTAATTTTCGTGCGTTTATATTAATATCATCAGAACTATTTCAAGGCTATGGAATATACAAAAGTTAAAAACCGTTAACTGCTCGCGATATAATTTGAGGTTTTCCAGTGTAACAAGTTAACTTTCTCTTTAAAGGTAACTTTCAAAATATGTAACTATACCAAAACAAATTATATCTCGTCCTATGAAACTAAGATTTACGAGAAACATTTAACTGAACAAAAATAAAAACGATTTTAAAGCTGTATACGAATGTACATACTTCAGTGTCAATTTCTTACTAAGTAAATATGTCCATAAATTAGTACTGAATTCAATATTGCCCTTTTTTATAGTTTTATTATAAATATTTAACTCAGTTTTGCTAATTAAGGCACCTTTTAAAGATGTACTTACAAATTATTTGACGAATTAGATTGAATGGACGTACTGACCAGCCCATGCCATTTTAATAAATAAAAACATAACATATATTGCTTAAGGTTTAAACTGTACTAAATAACTACCAGAACACGTCTAATTAACATATTTAATTTACATATTTTATGTTTTCACTTTTGAAAACTAAATTTATGGACACTTGAATAATAATATTGTCAATGATTTACTATCGTTTATCGTTTAAACTAAGCGACAAATCTATACTAATATAAAGCTGAACAGTTTGTTTGAACGCACTAATCTTAGGAAGTTCTGGTTCGAATTGAAAAATTATTATTGTGTTAGTTAGTCCATTTATCGAGGAAGGCTATAAAACATCAACCAGCGACCTATAGGAGCGAAACAGAAGGAAATGTGAATAAAAAGCGGATAATAAAACGCAGACGAAGTCGCGGGCTCAGGGAGTATTACATCGTTCTGTGTTTTACTCTACTATAAATAGATTTCTAGTAATAGCTAATAATATAGTTGTTAGACCTATACTTATATAACTTTAACTATTTCGCGTTTTACGTATGCAATTAGCCTAGCTTAGTCATTATTATATTTACAGTACAGACAAACAGTAAATGTTATTTTTAGACTGCACGCAAATGTTGCACATTTAATCTCAGTCTTGCCTTAATCTCTGTATTTAGACATTATTATAGAGAATTCAACTTCGTAATTGGCGTTATAAATACATGATTTTTTACTTTTAAGAGCCAATTAACGAAGGTTTGACGAAATGCATTTATGAGGACCATTATGATGCTATAACTGTGTCGGGCCCTTTCAATTAAACCAAGTTCTTGCATATAAGTGCCTTCTCTTGCATATAAATCTTTCGCAAAATGGTTTTTTGCTGATGAGATTTTCTCTTTGAGTGGAATAGTTACTATCAAATTATATATTGAACGAGGGAGTTCACAAAGATTTTTATACTTGGTTCTTTTTGGTGTGGCCAACTATGTATATTTTATAGCTTATGAAGCAACTATAAGAGTGATGTAGCGAACACCACATCTTACAAAATAGCAACATATATAATGTCTATTAAGAAAAAATATTGTTAATATAAAAAGTATTTTTGTGTATTTTTCATAATTTCTAAAGTTTTCCAAACCACATCAAACGTGAGCAAAGTATAAAGCTGAATTTCTACGTGCAAGGTTCAAGGACAATCAAACAAAACCACAATAAAAATCCTTTATTAGAATGTATAATAAAATAATCTCATAGATTTACTTTATTCATTTAATTGGTATTTTATAACTATCTTATATAAACAATTGCTGGCCTTGGTTCTTGTTAATACTAATAAAATAATCTTACATCGCATAAATAAAAACAAAGAACACAAATTCTTAAGATCTATCTATGTTTTCTTAATAAACAGGCGTTCCCCTACTCCTCTTGACAACCATAAGGAAAGCGATGAAATGAGCAATGCAGTACATCGTTACTAAGCATGTGCAGTTCCTCCAGAGATGCGATTCGGAGTAGCCATACCTTCGCAGGACATCTGGACCTGTCTTGATGCAGGGCACGCCCTTGATGCTAACACAGTCGATGGTCTCTATAGAATCCCATTGGATGATGGATATCGACTCGAGCCCGTAATAGAATCCAGAAACGAACTTCAGCCAGTAGAAGTAAGGTGAGGCACTAGCAAGATTTATATAAATCCCAGAAAACATGGTACCGATCAATTCGAATGGTACAGAAACGAGCGCTGCGGTTTCCATTCTGTCGAACACGGCTGACAGAAACGAACCTGTGGATGTACATTGCGTTAGTTTTTCAATAGATTTTTACCTCGGGTGCGTGCGCTTGCGACGGTGCAAATTGACATGCGCGGAAAAAGTGATACGATGCGTGTAGCCATTTTAATGTTAAACGTTTAAATGTTCGGTCTAGCGTGGAAGCATATGATACATGAATGCGTTGTTTTTCTAACTACTGAAGATCTAATTCACTTTCATTCGTCAATTCTGACAGTTGCAACATAAAAACAAGTAAAAAAATGTGTGTTATACATAAACAGGAATAATTAGTCACAAATAGTTATAAAAATATTCTCTACTAACCCTTTGAAAATATCAGCTGCGTAGAATTCGTTTAAACAGATTTTAAAGAAAAATTGAAAGATGACGAAAAAAGAGATTAGTAATACTACCCAAATGTTTTGTAAGTTCGCAGACTGACAAAACATTTGAAAGGACGAACTTCGTTCCATATCATATACTTTTGTAAGCAAACAAGTATAAAATGTCTACTGAAGCTTATTTTAACCATTGTTCCATACTAACCATAACCAAAATCTTCTTCATCGGCATCTACACAAAATCACCCATGGAAAAATGAAGAATAAGACAGTAATAGGAGAAGACACTTCGCTGAAAACCAAAAATGTGATTCACGGAACTCATGCATTACAGGTTAATATGAATATTTACCATATGCGTTCGCATAGTTAGCGCAAAGGATGCAGACGAAGCAGAATCCAATCCAGTTGGGGATGCCTCCCTGGAGACCAGCGATGAGGAATACCAACGTCACGAAACATATTGGCGTTATGATTGCGCGTGGTATCTGCAAATATCGGATCGTTCAGGATGGTTCAGATTTTGCGAGAACTTAACTTCTTGTTTAACTGTCTTCTTTTACCAAAGCTTTTCTTAAATGATACCTCTATCATTTAAAAAAGACTCAGGACAGACAAGCCTGGGGACAGACAAGCTTTTTTGCTTTGGATATTCGGGGCTACTTCGTTAAAGGAATAAATGATTTCATGATCGTCATAGTATTGGATTACTTTACTTTTAACTCACAGAATTTAGCCATTAACCTCGGTATCAATAATATTAGTTACTTTGAGGTAATGAGTTCAATTTCCAGGTAAATATTAAAGTATAGTTTAATATTTACCTATAATAACTTTTATAATATATAATAATGACTTTTGCCTATAATGTTAACGATCAGTACGAAGTAAGTACACATAAGTGTTTCTGTCCCTTTTCTCTGAAAAGCAGAGTTAACACTATATACACAGGGAATTAGTTATAAATTATAATACCTTTAACGAAATATTCGCGAGACAAGTAAACACCACAAATTAACTTTAAGTACATGATTTTATCATCCGCTACTATGGGCTGATTTCGTGACCATTTTCCATAGATGATATTTCATAACATTGCATAAGAATTCTAACGATGTGAATGACTTACTTATGAATAAATTGTCCGCTATATTACGCCCATGATTGCTCATGGGCATCATACATACGTACAGATTTATTCTTCGTTATAGAAACGTTGGAAGAAGTTATAGTAGGTGAAATAAAAAAAATACCCCAGCCATATCACATAACATCTCAACAAGGTGTGTTGTCGACCTATTTTTTGGCTTATTTGGATAACTCATCAAATGCGATGAAACTAAATTACCGGTTTAAAAAACAAAAGCAGTAAACAGAAACGTTGACCTTTTATTCACAATTAATTAAAATTTCAAAATTCCTACGCAAACGGAATTTGTCAACTTCTATTATAAATAGATTTAAAATAGCTTCAAGTTATAGCAAGGCCTTTTTGTATATATATAGCAAATAAAATTTTCGAACTTGTAATAAAGTAAGTAATGTAAAATAATTATTGTAAGATAAATTCGTCTGTTTTCTACAAAGTAGATCGTAATTAAATTGTTAGCAACAAATCGACTTTGACGATAACATATAATTCTGACGTTTATCCTTGGCTCTAACCTATAACGTCGTGAGAATAACCATGCGACTAAATAAGATTTCACAACATAATATCTGTAATTATTGGCGTTAGTAATAATTTTGTTTATATTAAAATATTATAACTAACTACGATATTATACTACGACACTAACACGTGATTGAGTTAATACAGGATGTATTTCTTTTTATAACTTCCGTATTCAAGATATTACGATAAAAAAGCCTACGATAGCCATCTAAAGCAATAACCTGGTGGACTCACTAACAAACATCCACACCTCCAAAAAAATGCTTGCGTAATTACAAAAAAAAACACAAACTTGAAATATTGAAAACACACAAATATCTCTTTCCATCTCGTTTGAATTAATATTTTTGAAACATGCTAGATTTCGTCTTGAAACCTTAATATTAAATAGTTGGTAGGGATATCGAAATTCCGTCCGGGTCACGAATAACAGCCACAGATAAAAAAGCGTTCAGTCTGTGGATTTCCGAATAACCAAAGCCATTTATAAGTCGAGAGGGTGCCTTGTGGAGATGTTATATGGCTGGACTATTTCACCTTCCATCAAGTGAAGCTTTGGCCTCTTCCTCTTGTCGTGTCTTCCTCTATTATAAAAAATATTACTTCTTATCGTAATATATGTACGTATTTTTTCTGTTTCCTATGACAAATTAGTAGTTAATGGTGTTTTATTAGAACGGAAGTGGCAGATGAAAGCGTAAATATTAATGTACTTACCCAAAATATCATCTTCGACAAATAGTAAGGTAGCGGCGAATATAATCCACTGGCGGTTTCCCGCAACAATATGGGAACCTCGTGTGGAAACGTGATGAAGACCGCGTAGATGAAGAGGAAAATCGTCTCCGTGATTGTGAGGTAGAGGAGACCTTCAGCGTTCTGAATGTCCCTCTGATCCAGCTCTTTGAAGTGACCCATGTACGGTATGGATATGATCAGTCCCACGAACTATAGAGGAATTGAGATAGAGCTTTATACATATTAAAAAAATATAATATATATTTAATTTGTACAATGATCTTTTTACATCCTAAAAAGACACTAATCGACATATAATAGTCAAGACACATGCCTCCTTTCTTATGATTTAAAACCCAAACCCACTAAGCAGCTCCACCGCGCTTACGCAGGTTAACTAAACTAACGGAACCCCTAATAAAGATAATGATGACCGACGCAGACAGCCCGAAGTTCCAGACCCTGGACTTCCGAATGTTTTAACAAGAGTTCCAAAAACTAACACCCTGAGGTCGTCAAGTAGAGACGAGGCAGTTAATTAAGGGACGATGAATAAGTAATAAGTTTTAAAAATCTATTTATATAGATAAAAAAATCGATCTCCGTTCAGGACTCGAGTGCTATACCTCTAACCAATTGAGTTACCGTGCCTTACTCGTCATCATAGAATGAAGACATTCTAAGTCATTCTATCATGACGTGTAGATGATATGCTATTGATGGTATGGTATGGTATGCTATTGATACATGTTTTTTTTATTCATACAATGCCATGTGAAAGAATAATAAAGTTTTCAAATATTCTACAAATGCTTACCATAAGAAGGAAGAATTCAGCAAACCATATAGATTTATTGTGTTTTAATGTTAGTATATTTCGCCACAACAACCAGTAAAACTGAACGAAATAGTTTACTTTGACTCTGGAATAGAAAGATAAAGTAACAATTTTAATGCATTATTTTAAATTCAACACTTCATTATGGCAGAAGAAGATACTAAAATTATAAAAGAAACATATTTAAACAGTTGTATTTAGCTCGACCCGTACGGAATTTATTCATTTGGGTCAAAATTAGAAATTACAATTCAAGCACCTGAAACTGAGTACACACATTTAATTTAGATGACAATACAATATAAATCAATAACATTATAAAACCAAGATGGCCGCCGATACAAAATGGCGGATTACATATTTTTCCTAAACTCCCTCAATATGGGTATCACATGAAAGGGCTACATTAGTAAAACATGATGATTGTGTCAAAATTTAAATGTTTTTATAGTTTTCAGTGCACAAAAAGTAAAACTGTTAAGTTCTTTTAAGTTAAAACTTGTTTAATAAGAAGCTAGGATATGAAGCATTTTATTTCCAAGCTTTTGTTTTTTCGTCGAAGTTAAAAGTTAGGGACAAACATTGACTAATAGAATAATTTGAAGCAAATGCATACTTACAGAGTTAAATACCGCTCGAAGTACATGTTCTAGAAAGAAATTAAACTTAATTAAAACAACGAATTCACAAACAAATATTCATTGCGAGTGGTTTTTTTTGCATAATTTCTATAAAGGTCACTTGTAAATGGACCAGTAGGTCAGTGTTTAAGTTTAATTTTAGTAATAGATAATATAAACACGCAAATAATATTACGTATTGCGCTGTTATTATACTTAGTCTAACATAGGATGATAAGTGTCACTATTATAATTGAGATAGGGTGTTATAAAGATATTAATAAAATATTTTGTCTTCGTATCCATTTACTCTAGTGTAATAATGTGTAGTGTGTATTGAGATTAAAATGTTAACTTTTATATGAAACAATTAAGTTTACATCAGCATTAATTGTTTTTCAGTTATTCGTTTATGGGGGGTTTGAGTCAATACTGACATAATCAGTACTTGGTATAGAAATTCGAGCTCTTAATACGATGTATCAAATTATCACCATACATCAGACACAAGTGATTTGTTAAAAGCGAAGTTGCAAACCTTTTCGTCCACATTGCCATTAAAATACTCCAGTTCATCCTTTACGTCTCCAACGCGGTTCTCTATTGAGATGGCTATATCAGAACGCTGGTATTCATTGCATATACGCCTTATTCTCTCCTGGCTCTCTGCCTCTTTATCTATTTGTACGCCCAAGAGAGAGACATAATACTCGGCCGCGTTGAAACCCACAGGACATTTGAAGTTTAACCTAAAAACTCATATTGGATGACTCAAGTAAAAAATAAACAAATAAATTAGCTAATAAAGAATTCTATAAATTTAGACAAACAAATGGGCAATATATAATCTAACCTAAGTAGCGATAATATTAATTCTATTATGCTAGATCAGGTTTCTAAATTGGCATATGGCATTCTTATTTTGAATTTTAACGGCATTTTGTTGACCTCTGTGACGCGAAACTTGAGGACACCGGATGTTACCGAGAATAAAAAATGCATATTTTTTACTATCGTTGTACTCGAGTTTTACTACACAAAACCTGTAGATACAAAATCTTGTTTTGATAAAACAAAACAAATAACAAATTTTAAGCATTTAAATAAAACACTTAAACAGTTTAAAACGCGATATTTTAGGTCTCCCCGTGACCACGGCTGCTGCAAAGTATCCGAAACGTCGGGCCGAAGTTAAAAATCATTTTCAAATAAGTTTAACTAATATATCGCGTTTTAAACCCTTAAAGTGTTTTAAAATTTAATACTGTCTATAGTTTACGCGAGTAGTACACATTTAAATAAAACACTTAAACGGTTTAAAACGCGATATATTAGTTAAACTTATTTGAAAATGATTTTTAACTTCGGCCCGACGTTTCGGATACTTTGCAGCAGCCGTGGTCACGGGGAGACTAAAGATGAAGGATGTCTCTGACGTCAAAGTAAAAATTGCTACGCTAGCGCCATCTGTTCCGTCGAAGTTGGTATTTGGCAAAATTTTATCTACTTTAAAAACAAAAATTGCTTTTGCTTCATTAAAGATCATTATTAGTTTTGAAACAGGTCAATACTTAAATAAAATTTTAATTCCAGCTCTTCCATTACATACGACTTGGCATTTAGTAATAAAAAATGCAAACATACATTTTAATAGTCGAAAAAAGTCAAATCTCGACCATATTCAATTCTAAATACACCGATACAAGAATGCAGAAAAGGTGGATAACACCAGAAAAAAAGACCTTGAGCTAATCCAACAAGATTAGGTTGTCTAACTTGTTTCAAACAATAAAATCTATATGACAAACCCATTTCGGGTGGTAATGTCTTTTAGTGTCTTCAATTTTGCTTTCTTTAATAATTTAAAAAAAAATGGCAAACTGACAGGTTTAGCATGTTGATAATAAAATAGATCAGCGTTCATTGCTTTATATTTCCATATTTTTAAATTGGAGCTGAACACATTGTGTGGGAAATCAAGGACCATCAATCTCTATTTTACGACTAGTCACGCATTTGTTACTTTAATGACGCGATTTTGTATTTTTGCAATAGAATTATTTCAAAATTAATTTATAGTTGTGTTGTATGTTTTGTTAAAGTGGAATTTCAGATTGTTTAACATTAATCTAATGGGCTCGTTGGTTTAATGATAGCAATGGCTAACAAGCGTTTAGATTTCAGTCTGTGGATTTCCGAAAATCAGCGCATCAGTTGCGATGTTATATGGCTGGAGTATTTCAATTCCATCAAGACAACCTCATGCTTGCCTACCCTCCTCTATGTTAAAAACTAAACTAAACAAACCATTTAAAAGGAAATCGTTAGCAACCACATCTACTATGTTTGCAAGTAATGTAAAGGTGTGTCAATTAAATAATTAAGAAGTAATTCTTGTTAGAAATTCTGAATTGATCGTTTAGGTAATCAATCAATGTTATTGATGTGGAAGGAATTGTATCTAACCGCAGTCTACAAGGTGTCGCACGTAACTTCAAGATCGCAAGTTGAGATGTCAACTTTTTTGTTTGCGGTTAAAATTGAGAAGAAATCTGATTCGGTCTTAGATTTACATATAAATCAGTGAAGGTGAACTAAATATAAGTTTACACCTGCCTACGTTATATTGATTTCATGATTAAAGCTTACTAGATTGGAACCGTCAAAAAAAAAAAAAAAAAACAAATGTATATACTAAAAATGGGTCTGACTAATAATATATTAAAAATGGGTGAAAAAGTTGTATTATTAGATAACCTGTTAAAATATTAATACTTATTAAAAAATGTTTTTAAATTGAAAAAAAAAATACGACAAAAAACAATATAAAATCGATTTTTTATTTTATTATTGCTATCATTCGTTTTCAAATATTTATACGTCGTTTCCTTTTTTCCGTAGTTTGAGATTCAAAGATACTTACGATGCAAAAAACTGATCAGCCTGTTCTATCGTTCCATGGAACGCAATACGACCGTTCGCCAGCAGAACTACTTGGTGGAACAACTCGAAGACTCCAGAAGCTGGCTGATGAACGGAACAAACGACGAGCTTCCCTCCTATTGCCAAGCGTCTGAGGCGTGACACAACGGCATTTGCGGCTGAGCTGTCTAAGCCAGTGGTGGGTTCATCGCAGAACAGAATGGGGGGGTCGTTTAGCAGCTAAAATAAATTGGTTTATGTTCACATTTAAATGCACATGAAGCTCGTGTATAAGAAGTATAGAAAAAACGATGTCAAAGTCGGGACTTGAACCTACGACCAAACAGCGTTGCTCTACAAATTGAGTTTTTATGAATTCGATAGCTTTCTGTGGTATCGATTTCGAGCCAGAAATGTTTTTACCAATCTTAAATTATGTATAATTTATCGATGAAAACGAATGTTGTAGATATGTTTTTTTTTTATCATTTTTTATTTATTATTCATAAATTATAGAAAACAGAGTTATGTGTTTTACTATGGACTGAAATTGTTGCAAAAATTTATTCGATTTTAAGAGGAAACAATAACTCAATATATTCATTTATTTTTAAAATTGACATTCGTTAGAGGGATAAATGACATAAAGTAGACGGGAATCGAACTCTTCACTTCGCGAGTGGGGGCACAGTCGTACCGTCGTCGTGTGTGTTTAAATTTACTTATATATTGTTTATATACACAACCTAGGCTAGTCAACCTTTTGTAGTCACTTAGACGAAAACGGCATTAGTATTCATGTGTTGTATAAATTCTATAATGACACTTTTGGTATAATATCACGTAATCAATTCGATCGACCGTGACACTAATGTATTAATTTTTATGTAAATTGTCATTTTATTGCGCAACTTTCAGTTGTTCACGAGAAATAAAAATAGCATATCTCTGACTGCATCATGCCAAAATTATTCAAAGATAACATTTGATTTCTAATGAAATTGGAGGTCATTTCCTGAAGCGGTAAGTTATGTTATTTAAGCAAGTTTAAAGAAGGTTGAAGAAATTCAACTATGACGTATAGGACACAGTAACTCAATAGATTTGATGAGCAGCACGGAACGATGTGGTTGCCGGTTTTCTCGCCGGTGTCGTAAATTTTTCAATCGAAATTGTATTTAAAATCATATTTTCAAAGTTAAAACTCAAAATGGTCATATTATGTTTTTATGTTATAAGTTAGATATTTATTGAATATATGATGTTGTTCGCGGTTTGGTAGCCGGCCTGTGTCATCGATTTTATTCAATCTGTAATACTTTTATCCACATAGAAGCTCTCATGTGCATTAACGAGTAAATATTTTAAAGATTAGACATTGACCAGACAATGCTTAAGTATTTATTTATTCACATATAGAGAACTTTTAGTTACAATACGATAGTCGACAAAATTGGAAATCAGAAAGCCATTCAAAAGTTTTCACTTTTAGATCCAGAAATACATATAAAAATAAAAATGTGACTTATATTAAAATTAGAAGAAAGAAAATCTATATACTGTTAATTAAACCTTAAACGAGATTTATAGTCATGTATATATCTATACTAATATATAAAGCTAAAAAGTTTGTTTGTTTGTATGTTTGAAAGCTTTAATCTTAGAAACGAATGCTACGAATTGAAAAAAATATTTTCGGGTTGGTTAGAGTATTTATCGAGGAAGACTTTTTTTATTTACTTGCAAGAATCACAGGATGCGTCCGACGATATGAAGAGAAAGAAGAGAAAGAGGTTAAAAAAAAAAGAAATTGGAAGTTTAAACTTCTACGCGGACAAACCCGCCGGCATTGCTAGTACATTATATATCTTCACATTTTATGTAACAGAGACTATTTGAGTTCCAACATCACTATAATTACCTGAACGGCTAAAGCGACTCTTTTCCGTTCGCCACCAGACAAGGCTTTCAGCTTCGTTCTTGTGCAATTAGAAATGCCAAGTTCCCCCAGCAACTGTTGGACGCGACGGGACCTGGTGGTTGCTGTAGATCTCTTGTCCATCATGAGCCGTGCCTAGAAGGAATAATTAGTTAGACTAGTGTTACCACTACAATAGTGTTGTACATAACATTTTTAATTTAATTGTTTGCTAAATTAAACTCATTTAACGGTTTAAAAGCAAAATTTATTAGTTAACTATTTACTACGGCTTACTTATTTCAACTACGGCTCGACGTTTCGGTAAAGAAGAAAACAGATGGCGCTAGCGTAACAGATTTTTACTATGACATTAGTAACACCCGCCATTTTCAGATCCCCCGTGACCACGGCTGCTGCAAAGCAGCCGAAACGTTGGGGCGTAGTTAAAATGATTTTCAAACAAGTTTGACCAATATATATAACGTTTTAAACAGTTAAAGTGATTTATTTAAAAGTTTCGAATATCTCATTCAAATTCGGCGTAACTCTATATACCGACCACAAAGTAAGTTTCTCTTTGTAAATTGGATAAAGGACTTACGGGCAACTTTATTGGATTCGATATCAGGTAGCTAATGGTTCAAAGTTTAAATATATAGGGTGGAGATATTCTTCTATCCCTTCTTGTAGAAAAAATCATTTTTAAACGGATGTTTACAAGGACATTTGAAATTAAATATGTGTTGGCTTGGTCGCGGTATAAAAGACTGCTACGTTGAGCTTTTAATAAAGTTAATTTTTTACAATAACTTTCATTAGAATAAGACACTCGATATATCATACCACAAACAACATTAATTTTACAACTAATGCAACTTTTAGGCTATCGATACGGAACCCTGAAGTTGGTAGGTATTTCGAATAATAATAGGAAACACTACGCTAACGCCATCTGTGTTTATATCATTGATAAAGAACAAAAGATTGTAAAGAACCGTTCGGAGTCTTCTTTGTTGTTCTGTATTAGTATGTCGTTGTCTATGGTATTTTGATTATAGGAATTCATAATGTCGATTGTTTCTGGCCCTCACTATTGACATTTTGAGTAGTTTAAAGTAAAACACTTTTTAACCGTTTAAAACGCGAAATATATTATATTATTGATTTATAACCTTTTCCGATGCTTTGCAGTAGTCGCAGTCACGGGAGACTTTTGAATCGTTAAAAAGTGTATTAATTAAATGTGTACTCGCGTAAACTACCCACAATACTTAATTTTTATTTAGCTTATACCTACTGAATTATATTACTAATACGAACATAATTATAATATTGAATTTCATGGCATAACTTAGTTAGCGATTCAGTTTTAACAAATTTTATATTAATTTAATATTCCCATGATCCAACTCACTATCAATAAATTATTTTATTATATTTAGTTAAAAAATCACACGAATCTGCGAATAGATCGTATCGACATAAATTACAAGACATTAATTTTTTAGTTACTATCTTTCGCATAATCTAGTATCTAATTACGAAAAACGGTTATCTACAACATCGAAAACTTAATTCAGGTAATAAATCAAATCGTACTTACGTAATACCAATCTTAGTTTGCTTAGCTGTCACTAAGTTTTTAAGGAAAATCACTTATCTGATTTTGGGGACAGGATTCGAGCCGTATGTCATAAAAACATATTAAATTTCTAACCAATAAAACTATAGTAATTGCAAAATGTTATCTGATATAAATTTATAAGCGTAGAGATCGAATTTTTACAGCTCGTGAGAACTCGACTTTTAAATTTAAAACTTATATTTTCAAATTCATCACATCGCCGATTGTTACACTGACATGCGCATTTTTTATATTTAGAGGAGATCGCACAAAATTAAAGTTCACTTAATGGTTGGTGAAAATACCTCAGCCATATAAACTCTAGACAAGAAGCTGTCGACCTGTTTTGGCTTTGGATATTCGGAAATCCACAGACTGCTACTGAAACGCTATTAAATTTCACACCTTTCTCTGTGGGCGGCGGTTCGTGAGCCGGACGAAATTTCGATATTTCTATCAGTCATTTAATATCCAAATTTCCTGATGAAGTCCATGATGTTTCAGAAAAATTAAAAATTGATTAAGTAAATGTCGGGCCCGGTGAGCAACGAAGTCACGTCCCGTTGACTCCATCATAGTCATACATTGTTACCATTTCACAAAGTAGCCCGTCAAATCTGTCGTATTGGGACAAAACTATAATATTAGATACAATCAGTTTGGTCTGACATTTAATCGTAGTTTAATATGATAAAGTAGGTAAGTTTTCTTTTAGTCTTGGTTTTAAAAGTTCAATTGATATGATGTGTGAGATGAAGATAACCTAAAGACAATCAACTGCGCTTCTAAAAACTCTTTCATGGTTTTTGAAATTTGTTATTTATACATATTAGGATAAGAGAGAGAGGTTCGAATCCGGTAAAATACAATACTACAAGCTGCAGCTTGTACATAAAAGCTGTTAGTGAAACAACACGGAATATATTCTCTCGAGTTCTATACAGAAACAAGTGATTTTCCATAGTTTTGATTATAATAAATTAGTGCTTATAGTAAAGAGGTTCTGTCGTCCACAGCCAGACAGTGATTTCAAATCCTATTATACGAAACAAAGTACAGAATCCACTTTTAAATCACCAGTACAAATGTATTTATAACCCTTCCACAGCCGAATGAAGCCCTTGGGCTCAACACTAAGTAAGCTTGTGTCAACAAAGAGGATTACGCTTACCAGACGGGTTAGAATGGATAGAATAGACCTTTCAGGCTTCTATATAGGACTCGCTGGCTCAAAATTATTATAATAATGATGAAAGTAGGTTACAAGGCTCCGCGCGGCTTAAGGATGTGTTACAGAATAATGCAACGACGGGAAAAATTAGAACATAACGTAAATAGTGGTTTGAGCCGGTTCGAGTTTTTTTGTTTGAAAGCGTTAATTTCTGGCACTACTGGTGCAATTTGAACGATTATTTTTGTGTTAGTTGAAGATTTTAGGTTATAAAACACCATGTTGCGATTAATAGGGCCGAAGAAATAGTGGGAAATGTGGAAAAAACTGGGAAAATGATTTAGTTTTGAGCGGTTTCGTTGCGTGAAACGACCGGTCGCGGGAGACGACGTCCTGGGTAATAGCTATATTAAACTACTGTGAATGCTTATTTTTACATTATGTTTATCAGTACAATCATATTAACGACTAGCATGACGATATACAAATTCTAATAATAGTTGAAACTATAAACGTAAAAGTACTGTATCAATAAATATCGTCATATAAAAATTCCAGCCAAATAAATGTTATTTATAAGATTGTTGTGTTTGCACCGATATATGTTAGGGCAAATAACAGTTTATAATGATTTAAACTTATTTACAAATTATTTTAACAAAGGCCGTGGCTCTTGCCGTGGTCAAGTGTTATATTTACATGTGTATTACTCGCGTAAATCACAGACAAGTATTTAATTTATACTTTGACAAGATCAATAGTTCTCTGTAGAATACCAATGGTGCAGTTTTTGAAATACCGCGCGGCTTTTCTTGATCTCAGTAACAGTAGTGTACAAAGTGCCTACGTATAAACGAACTACTACGATTTCATATTATAAATTGAAAATAAGAGTTGTTATATAATATATATGTTACATACCAACAAATACCACGCTATATTGTTTTATCAAAAAAAAAATTACACACACAAACACAAATATACAAAACGTAATCAACTGGTACAAATAATAATTAACTGTAATAAATAGGCAACATCCACTAGACCATATTATTGTCCCGACTATTTCCCATTGAAATGTATTCCTCTGTAGAAAGCAGGTGCACTGACCAACAAACTACTCGAGCGAACGACGAAACGTATCATCTTACTAGCCAAGGGAAAGTTTTACTATTGGAATCCCAAATTTAAAATGTGCGAGCCAATTCCATCGTTAAAGACATTGATTAAGAAGAACGTACTCCAACCATTGATGTTAAATTACATTACACTCTAAAAATCCGACAACTAAATGTTTTTGTATATGATAGAGGAGGACAAGAGACCAAGATGAAATGTCCCAACATAACATCCATATAACATGTAAACTAGATGCGCTGATAAGTTATTTTGACTTTAGATTCGGAAATCGATAGACTGAAACCGAATTGCGCTTAAACTTCATGGTTTTTCATCTGTGGATGGTTTGTACGACCATAAATTTAATATTTATATTGCCATACGATGTTTCAGAAAAATTATGAATCGATGAGAAACATGTTGTATTCACGATTCGTAAATTGACATACATTGCTACCATTACACCAACGTGCCCGTCAAACGATAGGTTAAATTTAATCAACGTCATTGGTTATCGATGGAATTGGGCGGCCAAATTGTTTATCTGTCTTATAAAATTAGTAACTCAATACACAGATTATAGACTTACCATAAATTCCATATGTTCAGCTACTGTTAAATCTTCGATAGATAAATCTTCTTGAGGGACGAAGCCGGATATTCTGGCTATCAGGTCAGCTCCAGCCAGACGCCCGTTGAGCATAAGGTATCCTGTTGTGGCGCTTTTATCACGACGGCTTATAGCTGCCAGTAACGTGGTTTTACCAGCCCCACTAGTGGGAAAAGAAATAGCTTGCTAGATTAGATCTAGGAAAGATTTTAATCGCGTTTCACATCATCTTTAATTGCCCAATCACTATGTTTCTTCGTATTTCCTCGGGACTAGAACGACCCATACGACCACATATACAATGTTTATGTACATGTACATTGTATATTTTTAAAGACAACCACTGCATATATTTTTAGTACATATATAGCGGGGTACAAAACAGACAGTTTGATTCAAACTTTTGAACTAACTTGAACTTTTAAAGCTGTAAATAAAAACTATCGAACTATTCATATATAAATAAAAGCATTCATTTAGATAATATAATAATTACGATATTTTTAAAAAGTCGAAATGACACAGTTGACTTGCGCACAAGGTGTCTTTGTTAAATTATCAATATTATCTGTGCTTCGGGACAAAGGCAGCGTTTAGCATTTGGATTTTCGATCATTTGTTGATTGTCGATTGAGTTGGATGACTTAGACGATACACGTACGGTGTAGCTCGTTGGTCCTGGGTTCGATTTCCGCTAGTCATTGAATTTACATTCGAGTTAACAATTTAAGCCTTAGGTCTTAATGGGGCTATAAAGAATTAAGTTACCTTGATCCCATCAAAGCCACTAAGTTGCCAGAAGACACGACGCCGCTCACTAAAAAAACAAAGAAAAGCTTTGATTATTTAATAAGTACCTACGAGGATATTTTATCTTAGTCGTTATACTTTGTCAAACATAGGGTGATAAGTTTGGGGGTTGATAGCAGCCCCCAAACTTTTGATAAAATTCCCTAATGTCAAAGTCATTCATTGCAGCTTCATTATTTATACATACCGACCACAAAAAAAATATATATAAAAAAACATCTTACGTACTAACTTAAATAAAAGGCCGCCTAATTGCTAAGCAGCGATCTCTTCCAGGCAGTCTGAAGTACACGAGAAAAGAAAAAAAAGCCTGAATATATTACAAAAGGCACATCGCAACAGTATACACAGCAAGTAGTAGGAAAGAGTAGTTAAGAGTTAGAAAGATTTATAGAGCTGTCTTGAAACAACGCAGAGATTGAAGATGTTATTCGAATACCTAAACAATGCAAAAACTTATTCAAACGTCAAACATATCATTCTATATTGGTAGACGTATAGATTAAAACCAATGGAAAATTCTGAAATCATTGTGACATATATTTTAATGATTATCAGAAAAGTGCAATAAATAACAAAAGCATTATTTAGGCTAGCTGCGCCAAGGTTATTCAAAGCTAGACAAGGATTAGCATAATTAACGCGGATTTAAATATGAAACATGTTCCAAGATCTTTTACATATTATCTTTATGTTTTCAAGTTTCTGGCCTAACTGAATACATAATTTCTTTGCGTAAAACTCTAGTATTTTCATCGGATACCATATAATATATATATAATAATAAAAAGGATTCCTTATTTATGGCGGTTGTAGATTAACAAGATTACAACGCAGTCATTAGATATTCATTTCAAATTCAACTTGCTAATTGTACATTTAATGAATATTTATAGATTGTTTTTTTCTGTGTATAATTTTTAATTAGTATTGTCTAAATTCCTTGTCTAAATAAAACAAGTTTGGAATTGCCATACAGAAGGCAGCAGTTCCGAAACATTCTTAATCTCCTGAATCCAGATGCCCAAGTCTTGACGGTCACCAGGAGTTGGATTTATTGGAATATCCAAATTTCTTCCGGTTTCAGTCTTTGGCTATCTAAGTAGTCAAAGCCAAAATAAGGCGACAGCACTTCGTTTTTAGATGTTACGCGGCTGGGGTATTTCACCTACCATCAAAAAACCCCATGCTTGCCTGTCGTTCCCTATTATAAAAAAATATATATGTTCTTTCGCTCTGGGGTGAAGAGTTGTGTAACGTGTAACAGCGGTGTATGACTGTTGTGTCCATACAAACGTAACTTACGCTTTTCTCTCTCGAATAAAGAAAATATAATTTCCTCGATGACGTTTATGAATAATGTATGAGATGAGATCGTTTTCACTGAGCATCGTCAGTAATCGTATTGATGATGAGCAAAAACGTAATCACATGATATGGTATGAGTATGTTGTCCTAACTTCAGTATATTATGAGATTTAAAATATGGTATGTTAGCTCAATGGTTAGAGCAACAGCACGGAACGCTGTGAATGCCGGTTTATTTCTTACCAGTGTCTTAAATGTTTTTTTATCTAAATCAATTTTTAATTTTCTATAAATATTAAAGTTTTTAAACTTACACTTTTATAGTTTTCTTAAACAATAAACTCTGCATAATAAAAAATAGATACGTAAGAAGATATATACCTATATTAAAATGTAAAATTTTTTTTTAAATATAATCTTTCTTTTAACTTTAAAAATTACGGCTCCATATTTAAGTTCTGTGGTGCTAGATGAAATGTTAGTTTTCAGACTAGATTCAACCTCAAAAAGTAGACTATTCTTGGTTATGGAACTTATAAGCTATGTGCTATAATAGAATATTTTTTTGACAGTTTAAAACTGCAATTATACTGGTTCGTCGTACGTGGCCACGTCTGCTGCAAAGCAGCCAAAAAGTTTGGTTATAGTTAAAAGTACTTGGCTAAAATATTTCACGTTTTAAATCGTTAAATTGATTCAAATGGGTACCACTCCCTATAAGCTACAGAAATGACTTTAAGTTACCTCCATGGAGTACTTTGACTTCTTCATACGTCGCCGACCTCCAAATGCTAGTCTGGGTTTTCTTCTTCCTATACACAGACAGATCTTTCCAGGCCAGTGTGAGGTTTTCAGGCGTGTCTCCGAGTCCGGCCATCTCGTCATCGTCCCAGTTAACCACGGCGCCCGTGAGGACATTTCGCGTCGGCAACTTGGGGATTTTCAATGTGAGGTCCTTCATTTTTGAGCTACGTCATTTGGTTCTGTGGACAAACATTTACATTACACCAATGTTTTAAACAGTTTAGTACTTAAAACAGTATGCATAAACTGCAGACAGTTCCTTTACTGGTTTTGATTAATATTATCACGAATTGTAAGATATATGGGTGGTAGGAATATCGAGATTCCGCCCGGTTAACGAACCCCTGTTCACTGAAAAAACTGTAAAGTTTAATCGCGTTTCGATTTCAGTCTGTGCATTTCCCAATATATAAAGCCAAAATGGGCCAACAGCGCATCGTGCTTAGATACTTTAGGCTGAAGTATTTCACCTACCATCAAGTGATCGCATGCTTGTCTTTCCTTCTCTATCAAAAAAAAAAAATAAATGTAGTCTTTAGTTCCGTAAGTATAAAACGGGATCATCAATACAAACACCCAACCGAACCAGCATTTGTATAAATCGTGACTTTCAGAGATGTACTTATTATTAAATATTACAGGTTACAAGGATATAAAATAAAGACTTTCTCTAATACTACTAAGAACTTTTATTAGCCACACTTACACTGTTTAATATTTAATTAAACAAACATGCTTCTAGTTGCCGATACCATGGAATAAGTGTAAGATATTCAACCGTTGGTTAAAAAAAAATGCGATTGTAATCTCTATTTGGTCAGTGTACCTATATATTAATTTATATTAGAGAAATAATTTGTCGTAAACTAATAAACTTAACTTCTAATCTATTCTCGGTCTACTAATATAATCCAACACAATCTAGCTGATAGCCCTCTTTATAGTTAGCTACACAGTTTATTTATTAGTATTCTCTTAAATAAATAATAAATAGCACTTAGTTTCTAAACAAAACACTTTAACGGTTTAAAACGCGATATATTAGTTAAACTTATTTGAAATATGTCGGGCCGAAGTTCATTTTCAAAAGTAACAAATGCGTTATAACTGTTAGTGTTTTATTTAAATGTGTACTACTCGCGTAAATTAGACAGTATTTAGCACTTAGTTTCATCTATTAGGTAGTATCAAAATACATCAAATGTGTAAAAACTTGCACACGATACGATCACACTGTGGCCTACACATGAACACATGAGATTTTATATAGAACACTTTAAACTGCTTATAACTGAACTGTATATAAAGGATTTGGAACGACTAGAACAACTACAGTACTTATACCGTTACAATTAAATTGTTTAAAGTTTTTTATTTAATTTATATCTTTGTCAGTATACGCGAAGACACTTTAAAACGGTTTAAAACGCGATATATTAGTTCAACCTAATCATTTTCAATAAGTTTAACTAATATATCGCGTTTTAAACCGTTAAAGTGTTTTATTTAAACGGGTACTCTTTATTAATTATATATCCGAACGTCGTAAATTAAAAGGTAATAATATTGATAAGTCTATGTAATTGTCAATTTATTTATATGGGCAATTAAAACTTAACATACCTAACAATTTTCCTCGATCTAACCACGATTCCCTACGGAAACCTGGTTAACTCTCGCCACGCCCTACAAACCCGCCCATAATTTAAATAGTAATTAATAATTATTGCCTCAGTTGCCACTTCTAACTCCAATAATTATGAACCAATTGCGTCAAGTACTTTAATTTAAATTTAAACAACGTTCAAACGTAAATATATATATAATAGCGTTGAATGAAAATTTAAACTTAATTAATCCATTATTATTGTTATTTTCATTAAATAAAAGCGACTTAGTTTAACGGCATAAATAATTATCTCTAATACTCGCAAATGTCTGTACGTCATACAAATAAATTGAACAGTCCTAATGTATCCCCTATAAAACCAAAGTCGTCACTTCCGTTTTATACAATGGGATCAATTGCTCGAGTTATTTCGACACATTTTTTATCGCACTGCTTCCTTCTAGAACGTTGACTATAGACACTGTAAAAATAGATTTAAAATAAACGTTGATTTTAGCTTATGAATATACACAAAAATATCTAAGTAAGATTATTATAAATACAAAGAAATGTTAATAAAATAAAAGTACTTAAAATATTATAGAGTATATAAAAAAAGTATAAATGAATTTAATATTAATAGCTGCTTCCGAAAGGTCTGATAATAAAAATTCCAGAAGTGAAAAATATATTTTCTTAAAACACTTCTTCTTTCACAAGTAAAATTGAAAATTCGATATTATGATCTCTTTATAAAGAACGACTCACGAATATTTTTTATTTTATTTTTACTAACCTTTACCCAATTGAGTTAGACCATATTTTTAAATCGAATGAGTTGTAATAAACATTATTTAAAAAAAAAAATTTTTTAGTCGGCAATCCAAATCTCTAAATCGAACACCCGACCGCTCTACGTTTTGGTCAACGCGGTAATGAGGAGTTAAGTCAAAAGCTCTTGACTTTCGGACCAAACCTCTACGTATCGAAATGTTGGCTTACATCAATTTAGCATATTTTATATTTTTTCTTTCTCGACCGCCTCTGTAGCTAAATGGTTTATGTGTTGCTAAGGAGTGCGTTTAGCGCGAGTCGGCCTGGGTTTTAATCAGGGGGAATTAATATATGTAGTTAGTTCGATTAAAAGTCTGTACTTGCCTGTAAATAAAACCGGTCAGTAAAATGGACACTGAAATGAAAATTTTACCACGATATTAGGTATTTCTTTCTGGCCATTTTAACATTTGGGAGGTTGACTAATCCAAAAGGCTTCTCTTAAAACATTAAGTTTTAAATAAAATACTTTAATTTAAAACCGAATATTAGTTAAACTTATTTAAAAATGATTTTTAACTTCGGTCCGACGTTTCGGATGCTTTGCAGCACCTGTCCGGGTAGACATAGTCAGTCAGTCTTACATTTAAGTATTGTTACTAATGACTAAATATATTTTATTTTTGAAATTTTCTTTATAATTGTGGAGGACAGACAAGCACGATGTTTACTTAATGTTAGGTGACCATATATATAACATCCTGAAAAGTTACGCTGTTGACATATTTTGGCTTTAGATATTCGGTAATTCTACAGACTGAAACTAGCCGCCGATGTAACTTCACGGCTTTTTCATCTGTAAGAACACTTTTTCGTAAACAGAACGAAGTATCGATATTCCTACCACCCATTTTAAATTCCAGATTTCCAACCGTATTCCCAGTTGTCTATGTTTCAAAGAAATTATAAATTGATTAGAAAATTGGATCCGATGGGGATCACACTCACGAACTAGCTATAGATGGCTTACCTTGGACTCAACGAACCCGACAAATATGGCTTAGGATTAGGATTACTAAAGACGTATAGGTTACCTTTATTACGTTGTGTAGAATTTATATTAGACTAAAATTTCTTAGTCTAGTTGGTTTTTTATAGTTATTCGTGCATATTAATCCGCCGAACGCAAGCTTGGATTAAAATTGACCACTTAGTAATGTCCAATTAAAACAAAATCGAAAAGCGTATTAACATAATAATCTACTAAACATCCAGTTAATCTTCGGAATAGATAACGTGAAAAATAAAACGACACGTGCGCTGTGTTTCGTGATCATTCGCCATAAATATCTATAAAAATTAACATTTAAGATATTATGTATATTCATGAGGTCACAGCTTAAGTTAATAGATAACCGTGCGATTTACCAGCTTATTTTTCATATGTTCTAGATGTACTTTTTGATATATGGCTAACACTTATCACGCAGCTGGAAGTATAAAGCATAAGTGTGACGAATGTCTAGTAACTTCTATTTACACTATTATTATGAAGCTAAAATGTTTGTTTGTTCGTTAATTTCAGCAGCTAGTGGTTCGAATTGAAAAATTATCTTGTGCTGGTAGAACATTTGTCAGAAAGGCATTTGGCTATAAACATTACGCTACGAACAACAGAATCGAAGAAACAGTAAGAAATGTGGAAAAAACGAGGGAACATCTTTGAGGGTATGTATGTATAAATGTATGACAGTATGATTCCTCAGGTTAATCCTAATGTGGTAGAATATTAAAGATTAAGACTTATACATTGATCTTAAAAAGTTTTGCTTTTTCAGTTCAGCCAACCCTACTAAAAATATCTATTTCTCGTTGTTAATTTAAACTTTATGCCCTGCCCGTCCGAAAACAAAAAATCCCTCCAAACCCAGAAACCATACCAGGCACGGCGGTTCACCATATATCGGGACAATCAATTCAAAATTAAAGAATCATAGAAAAAATAGCACTTAAAATAGTTTTTTACTACTGTTGTATTTTTACATATTAATTATCTGTTTTTGTGTCGTATTCAGATTTGTGGAGGTATTTTTAAATTTAGGCAAATATAAGAAAACGCTAGTGAATATTAATGCTTTCAATAAGAACATTAATGTGACATATAGTAAAATAGATTATTTGATATAAAATATTTAGATTTTTTATGACAGGGTAGGATAGACAAGATTTCACTTCATGGAATGTAAAATAGCCCAGCCGTTATATAAACAACATGTTTACCTGTTTAACTATATATATGTGTAACTGTTTACCTATTTTGGCTTTAAACATTCGGAAATCCACAGACTGTAATCGAAACGCAAAATAAACTTTTCCATGTGTGTACTGGGGTTACCGTACAAAGTTCTATATGTTTATGAAATATTATATATTAATATTGGAAATATTTTGGACCCGGTGGATATCAAACCGACAACCTGCTTTATATTGCTACTATTCGACCAACGATCCTGTCAAAAAGAGACTTGACAAATAAGAATATCTTGATTGGTGTACGTCGCAAAAAATCAGTAACAGTTTAATATTTAAAAGCTTTTAACTTTTCAAAGACGAAAAAAGAAAATAAAATGTCTGCCTTATCGATCAGATAACTTTCGTACAAATTATTAAATATATTTTACGTTTGAATCGAACATAATTGCAAAAAACACTTACGATTATGAGCTTGTAAAGGTTTTTTAACGGTAAGCTTATCTCATTTAAAACGTGTACTA